ATATAAATATATGTATATATATTATTTACTTAAATTATATTGTACATGCTAATAACAATGTAAATATTATACTTCCTCCGTCTCATTTACCATGTCCATATTACCGTTTCCGTCTGTCTTATATTTCAAAGTACTTTCGTTTTTTAGAAAATGATTACCAATCTTAATTTTATTTAAAACTTTCAATTTTTTTTTTTAATTTTAATTAAAATAATTAGTTATTTTAATCTTAATCTATAATGATTTATATTATAAGTTAATTATTTTTACTAATATATTCTTAATTATCTACTAATTATATTATCATAAATTCTCGTGTCTACAGTGACCGAGACATCTAATATGTGACGAAAGTAGTACAATATTTAACAATAATTTTTAATATATAATGTATTACTACTTTTTAGACTTTTTAAAGTTTTGATACTAGTAATTAATAATATTAAAAATATATATATATATACATTAAATATTTCAAAACAATTATCAATTACAATAATTTATGACTGATTAAGAGTGCATTTCGCAATTAGCCGATAGCTTTTACCTGATTCAATTAGTTGGTTTGACTAGCCGATTCAATTAACGGTTTGTATTAAAGTGTTTAATAAAACAACTGTTTGACATTAGATGTTTATACATAAAATGATTATTAAGGACGTTGATACGTTATTTTCTAAAGTATTTAATTTTGTTCATTTTGGTTTGAAATTTATGAAAATTTTTGTTATTAATTATTGAAAATTATAAAAATATTTATTTTTATTTTTATTATTTAGATTTGAAAAAATTATTTTTACTAAAAAATAATAATTTTTTATTAAAATTATGTAAAATATAAAAAAATAAATTTTTGTATATATATTTTTATTATGCTAATTATTGTTTTAATATATATAAATAAATTAATAACATTTGTTGTTTTTATTTGATTTGGTTTTAAAAATTTATATATTTTACAAATGAAATAATTTATATGTAATTATTAATAATAGTAATTATTTTAAATTTACAAAAATAAAAATATAATTTAATAAATTAAATATATTAAAAATAATTAATAAATACTACTATAAAAATATATTTACATGTATAAAATAAATAATTAAGTTTTAAGGGTAATAAGGAATAACCAAAATTAAAATGAAAAAACTCTTTCAAAATGCTGGGTAGATGAGCTTTTCAAATTAGCTTTTTGGTCCAAAAAAACTGTTTCAAAAAGCTAATTTACCAAACACATAAATTAATTTTTTGACTCGTCAAACAGCTAAAAATTATTCAATAAACTAAATACTCTTCAAAATGCTGTTTTCCAAACACCCTCTAAATGTGACTAATTTTGATTGGTGGCGGGTATGTTCATACTTAGAATTGACTTTTTTGGCAAGCCAAATTATTAAGAAATGTTCAAATGTAGTGTTTGCATTTTATTAATTATATATATATATATATTATATGGATTAATATGTCTGTAATTATTATTATTATGTTTTCAACTTGAAATTGGCAATAATGCAAAGTAAGGGTGTGTTTGTTTGGGGGGTTTGGATTTTGAGTTGGGATTTGAATAGTAAAAATTTTGAATTTGAATAGTTGTATGATGTGATATAAATAGATGTTGATGTGATGTTTTGAATGTAAAATTAATTTTTAGTATAATATAAAAAATGAAAAATAGGGATTTGATTTGATATTTTTGAGGGAAAAATTTGAATGAATAGTAAAAAAAAAAAAATCTGATCCCTCAAACAAACACACCCTAAGTTTGTTTTTAGAACTGAGGCTTTCCACTCAAACACAATTATAATTTATTAATATTAATTAATTAATTAATTTACTATACATATAAAATAATTTTAAACTAATAATTATAATTTAAAAATAAGCATTTGATTTATTATTATTATTATTTTTAATTATGAATAGTAAAAAGCCAAAATAATAATAATAATAATAATAATAATAATAATAAGCACAGTACTTCTTGAAGTTTGTTATTTTTAAATTTTCAAATTCAATTAATATTATTTATTCAGTACAATTTTTAATAAAAATATATTATTTAATTCTACGTAATATTACATAAAATACTATTTAAACAAACGCAAATGAATACTCATTTTTAAATTAATTTCAAATAACAATTAAAAAAATAGTTACATGTTTGTGTTTTGTATTTATATAATGATTCGATTTTTGTTTGCGAGACATGTTTCTCCTTTACACGATCCTAATATATATAATATTTATATTCTATCATTTCGTAGAAAATAATATTCGATAGAAACTATTACTTTTATATTATTTACGCTATTATCTATATTTTATATAAAAAATATTTCAAGCTCAAATACTAAAAAAAACAAATCCATTAATATCTTGAAGGATAATAATGTATTTTTTTTTTCTTTAGAAATGGAGAAATTTAGAGTTTATTTTGTTGCAATTTGATATTAATTTAAAATAAAGAGTTTTAATTGATTTTTTTAAAATGGTATATTTATATGATACTTTTTGAGAAAAATAATATATTTTTATTTGGAATTATATAAAAATAATATTATTAATTTTAATTTGAAATTAAAAAAAAAAAACCTACATTAACAAAGATATAAAAATTTTCTTAAAAAAAAATATACATTATAATTCTCTCACTTTATATTTTAATTAAATTACATTGTCTAGTGAGTCATATCCCAAATTGATTGTGGGACAGATAATTATTAGTATAAAATTAATTTGAAAATGAATAAACATTGTAATAATTGATGAGTCATCTAAAATGAATTAAATGAGATTTAGACATATATTAGTATACTGTTAAAAACTGACTTAGGTCGACTGGTCCCATAAATTCAGTAGAAACATTACATCTTCTAGAATATTACAAATACAATATTAAATTTTAGTCTCTCCGTGGATGTCCGGGTCACTGTAGATACGAGAATTTAGAATAAGTATAATTAATAGATAATTAAAAATATATTAATAAAAATAATTATCTTATAATATAAATAATTATAAATTAAAATTAAGACAACTAATTAAAATTAAAAATAAATTAATTAAAAAATTTAAAATGAGATTAAAGTTTATAATCATTTTTCAAAATAAGAAAGTGACATGCGATGTAGGACGGACATTTGTTTTTTACGGAGTTTCAGAAATATTAGTATTATTATAATGTAGTATGAATAAATTAAAAATAATTAAAATAATCTTATTAGTATTGTGTGATATAAATGTAATAACATTTATCTAATATATTGTAAGTTGTAAAAGTATTTGTAATGTTAAATTGATAGTACATTTACTAAAAAGGAAAATAGATACTTTGTTGTTATGAGACGGACCAAAATGAAAAAAATAATAGATTGTTACCGTTACTAAAATAACCTCAGTAATTAAAGGCAAAAATAGCATACAATTCTCTTATAGTTTCCCTAATTTGTTTAGAATTTTAGGGATTTAGAAATTGAAATTTTAAAATTTATTCGCAATTTGGGCGCATTTAGGTCAAATACAGTTAAATAAGGACCGCTGAGAGGATTAGATGCAAAATTTATGAAATTACGATGGGAGTTTGACGCAGTATCAGAAGTATAGGGATTTGAAACCATATGTAGATTTTGTGCAATTTAGCCTAAAAAGAATATTAATCCACTAAAGGTGTGTTTGTTTGGGTTTTTTTTTTTTTTTTTCTAAATACACTATTTATCCAATTTTTTTTTTTTAAAAAAAATCAAATCAAACATCTATTTTTTATTTTTTATATTATACTTAAAAATCAATTGTACATTCAAAATATCATATCAACACCCATTTATATCACTTATACAATTATTAAAATTCAAAATTTTTACTATTAAAGTCCCAACTCAAAATCCAAATTCTCAGACAAACGCACCCTAAAAATATTATCCCTAACGAGGAACCGTATCGAAAAATTAATGTGACGTGGCAGACGATAATTAAGAAAGAGTCAAAAGCAGGCAACAAACTGCATTAACTCATTTGCATGCAAAGTCAGCTACTTCAGTAACTGCATAATAGGTACATTTATTATTTCTTTATTTATTTTAGATGATCTATTTTAAATAAATATTTCTAACTAATCATGTTAATATAATATTACCAAAAAAATAAAAAAAAAAAGAGAAAAAAGAAAAAAAAGGGAGGTTTTGAAATGCAAAAATAAAAAATAGTAAAATTTTTATGTATGTTTATTGTTTTAAATAATTTTTTAGTATTAAGAATTGTGAAAGTATTATAATTAAGTAATAATGTTGTTTTTTTTATGTATTTGCTTTTTTTTTTTTTTTTTTTTTTTTTTTTTACTTATGTGTGATTATGTTAGTTTTTCTTATATTTAATTTGATATTTTTTTCAAGAAAAAAATATATACTACTATATTACTAATAAATATTGTTAATTTTTTTTTAAAAAAATTACTTATTTATTACTATCTCCGACCAGTAGGAAGTATACACATATTTTTGCGTGAATGTATTTAATATTAAAAATATCTTTATATTTATATAATTTACTTTTAAAATATGATTGTATTTGTATTACAAAAGAACACATGATATACTTTTGTCCTTTTTTTTATTTATATTACGTTTTGATATAATACTCTCTCTGTCCACAAATTAATGTCCTACTTTTCTATTTGGGACGTCCAACAACTATTGTCCTATTTCTTTTTTTAAACACAAATTTTACATTACCCTTCGTTTATTTATTACTTTTAATCTCTACCATACAATTAAAAACAAATTTGTCAATTCATAACAAAAAGACAATCACCTAAAAAACCATGCAAATATACTTTAGGACAATATAAATTGAGATCAATACAAAAAAATTACTGTGTACTTTACGGCGGGACGGAAGCAATATAAATTTTTTCTAGAAAAACATACTTATTTAAACGAAAAATTAAAACAAAATATACAAACACACGAGACACTTTATATATATATATATGTGATATAGTGATTAGCTAAATACATTCCCATTTTCTCAGGCAAACCAAACCTCTGTCTGTCTGCAATATTACAAGAAGAAAACAAATTAAAGAAGAAGACAATTGTCTGTGTGTGTTGTTATTATTAATTAGTTGCAGAGAGATCTAGAGAGAGAGAGAGAGAGAGAGAGAGAGATGGGGAGAATCCCAGTAGGTGTGGGTTGGAGTGAGAAAATGGAAATGATGAAGAAAGGGCCATGGACACCCCAAGAAGACATCATCCTCGTCTCTTACATCCACCAACATGGCCCTGCTAATTGGGCATCTGTTCCTTTTAACACAGGTTTCATTTTTATTTTTATTTTTATTTTTATTTTTTTAAAAAATGAATATGATTTTTGAATGAATTATACATATATATATATATATAATATAGGGTTGCAGAGATGCAGCAAGAGCTGCCGTCTGCGGTGGACGAACTATCTCCGGCCAGGGATAAAGCGCGGGAACTTCACCTCCCACGAAGACAACCTCATCCTCCACCTCCAAGCCCTCCTCGGCAACCGGTTCGGTTCCATCGCTGCTTTCTTAATTATATTCCCAGCTAATTGTCAATTTTAATCTCACACAAATTTTTTATTACTATTTCCTCCGTCCCATAAATATAGTCTTAATATTGATATTATATTGGTAGTCGATAAAAAATATAGATAATTTTTTTTTGTCCTTGTGAGTGTATTAGCGTAAAAAGCAGTGACAATTGTGTAATAAAAATGAAAATGTAAGGGTAATTTTATGGTGATATGATTATTTATGGAAATAAGACGACAGAAAAAATGGTAAATAAGACTATTGTATTGAGACGGATGGAATATTATATAATTAGTAAATAATTTAAAAATATATTAACAAAAATAATTATTATATAGTAAAAATAATTATAAATTAAGATAACTAAATATTTAATTAAAATAAAAAAATATTATAAATTTTAAAATACGATTAAAATGTACAATAAAAAAATATAATTATGTGAAACAAATCAAAATAAAAAAAATGGATGAATTGTGTAGGATGGAAAAAATAATATCTACTTACTTTAATTATCTAAATATATACTCTCTCTCATTCAAATTTATTCTTTTTTTTCTAGGTTGTCATAAAAAAATATTCTCATTTTTTTCAAGTAAAAAATAATATACTTTTGTATTTTCTTATTATTATTTATTTTTTATTAAAATTCGTGTTCGATTAAATGATTATATATTTGCGCGACGAATATGTTATTCAATTCGTAAAAGAGAAAAAACTCATCAATTTTTAGTGATTAGCATCGTGTTCTCTCTCATATTACTCTTTCCTAGTCTGACTTATTTGTCGTGTTCATGATACTATTAATATTCGTCTCATATTTTATTTTATGTAATTTTAAATTAAAAAAATATCATATTGAAATTTTATTTAAAATATTATTAAACAAATAAAAAGCTATAAGGGTGTATTTATTTTATGAAATATTTGAAAAATATATATATTTAAAAAATTGTATAAATAATATAAAATAATGATACGTGTAATATAATAATTTTTTTAAAGAAACATCTCTTAAAAGAAAAAAGAAAGAAAAGAACATAAAAAGAATACAACCTAAAGTTTTGGTATTGTAGATGGGCAGCGATCGCGTCGTATCTTCCGGAAAGGACCGACAACGACATCAAGAATTATTGGAATACTCATCTCAAGAAAAAACACCATGGCCGCAGCACCGCCTCTCCCAAATTATTACCTAATTTATTAATACAAAATAATAATAATAATAATAATAATAATAATAATAATAACAATAATAATAATTCGAAAGGGCAGTGGGAGAGACGCCTCCAGACGGAGAATATTCAGGCCGCCAAACACGCCCTATCCGCCGCCCTCTCCCACCTCGACAACTCCCAGGATGTCCATTCTCCGCCGCCGCCGTCAAACATTCCGCCGGCGGCATCCACCACCACCGCCGCCGTCAGCGCCGACAATCTCGCTCAATTGCTTCAGAATTGGACCGAACGTTCGATCGCCGATGATGATCGGACGGTCAGGAGAGGTTCGAGTTCGACCGCCGGTGAGGAGATGATTGGGAATGGATTCGGAGGGATTGAGGATGCCAGGACGGATGCTGATTTTGAAATGACTCAAATGCCCCTGCGTTTGCTCGAGAAATGGCTGTTTGACGACTGTGGCGGTCAGGGGCAGGATGGGAATTTCGTGGACACCGCCATTGGAGGATCTGCTGATTTCTACTGAAACCAGGAGGAAGTTCTAAATTGAAACAGCCAAGCAGAAATATATATATATATATATATTATATAGATATAGAGAGAGATCTATAGGCTATAGCTGATCAGTAGGTTTAAGGTTGTTTCTGTTGTACGAGGTAGAAAATTGGGGAATAAAAAGCACAAAGTGTAATTACACCTTGTCCGAGGATTGTTCCGCTGATGATTTTACCATGCTGATTTTTTCATATTAGTACGCTAGACAAACATTAGGGCATCGCAGTGGAGAAGCTATACAAAAGTTTCTTTAAATCTCCAAGTAATCATCTCTTTCTTCCATCTCAACAAAAAAAAATAAAAAAAAATATATATTTATATTTATATCAAAATTATTTATTTATAAAATTAAATTTAAATAAAAATATATCAATATTTATATCATTATATAGGAAATAAAAATTTTATATAATATAAAAATATAATAAATAATAAATAAATAAAATTATTATAAATATATGCAAAATAAAAAGGGAGAGGTTTTTTATGAGTTGATCCGGCAGCAACCAAGAAATTATTTTACTTTCGTTTTAAAGCCCAATAATTCCAGGTAGGATGACAAATAGGAAAGATAATGTTTCTCTCAAACCACAAAAACTGCCAATGGACATAGCTTTGTACATTAGTATTATATACAACACATATAATATGTTTTTAAATAATAATAAATATGATGTATATAAGTATGTCATATGTTAAAATCAACTATTGTGTGTTGTATGAGACTATATAAGTGTGATGTATTTGTATTATATTAATATATTCAGTGTACTATTTGTAGTAATATTATGTATTGTCTAATAGCAGACTACGTGCTGCACTGAATTTAAAATTCAGCACATCCACCCTTTTTCTATGTTCTTTGCTTCTGGTCTTCCAACTTTCATTTCGGATTTTGTAAAAAAAAAAAAAAAAAAAAAAAAACCCAATTCAATAACTCTGGAAGTATAAAAATTCGAAATTTGAATTATAAATTTAAATCAAATCAAAAAATTTAAATTTAAAGTATATAACATATTTAAAAATTCAATTTTTTGATTATTTTATTTTATTTTTATATTTTAAAAAAATTAAATATATAAAATAAAGATGAAAAAAATAAACATAAATTGAGTGAAAAAAAGAAACATAAATTTTTTGAATCAATAACTTTTTGGATTGATTCAAATTTTGAGTATATTAATCTGAACAGATCCAAAAATTTAAATTTTATAAGAATTTTTTATTAATTCAATCCAATCGAAATCAAAATTTAAATTTCGATTCGAAAATCCTGCGTTATTTATGTGTATGTAAAGTGGACATAAAATAGGGGATGAAAGGAGTATTATAATTTTGGCCAATTTGCAAACTGAGAACATTGACAGTGTAATTTTGCTTGTAATATAAATACTACGGAATTTAGAATTACCACAAATTCAAAAAGTAACAACGGCTAGAGTAATTAAGCCCTAACCACAATCGGCCACCGCCACCGCCACCGCCACCGCCGGAGATCCGATGAACTCCTTCCATGAAGAAAAGGCGATCATTTCGCTCATCAAATCATGCTCCAGCAAGTCGCATCTCCTGCAGCTCCACTCCCGCCTCCTCCGCTCCTCCCATTTCTTCACCCCGCCCATTTTCCTCTCATTCCTCTCCCGCATCGCCCTCCCTCCATTCCGCGATCTCCCCTACTCCGCCGCAGTCTTTTCAACCTTCCCGGCGCCCTCGCTCTCCGCATACAACACCATGATCCGCGCTCATTCACTCACCAGAGGTTCCGGCCGCGGCGGCCTCCGCCTCTACCAGGAACTGCATCGCTCCGGCTTCTCCTCCGACGCCCTGACGGCAACTTTCGCATTGAAGTGCTGCGCGAAGGCGGAATCCTTCTCCCTCGGGGCGCAGATTCACACGAAGATATGGAAAGACGGTTGTTCGTCCGACGGCCTGTTGTTGACGACATTGATGGATTTCTATTCGTGTTTGGGGAAAGGCGGGGATGCTTGGAAGGTGTTCGACGAAATGCCGCAGAGAGATGTCGTCGCTTGGAACGTCCTGATTTCTTGCTGCACTCGCAATGGACGGACTCGAGATGCTCTGGCGTTGTTCGATAGGATGAAAAGCTCGAACGAATCCCCGCCGGACGATGTCACTTGCTTGCTCGCTCTTCACGCCTGCGGGAGCTTGAATACCCTCGAATTCGGGGAAGAAATTCATCGCTACATCGTCGAAAACGGCTTTCATAGTTCGAAGAGTGTCTGCAATTCTTTGATTGCCATGTATTCCCGTTGCGGCAATGTCGAAAAAGCGTTCGAAGTGTTCGATCAAATGGCTAACAGGGACGTCGTTTCGTGGACTTCGATGATCTCCGGCCTCGCAACCAACGGCTATGGGGCGGACGCCGTTGCGGCATTCTGGAAAATGCAACGGGAGAATGTACTACCCGATGATCAGACATTTACGGGAGTCTTGTCGGGTTGTAGCCACGCGGGGCTTGTCGACGAAGGACGGATGATTTTCGCGTCGATGGAGAGGGATTTCGGAGTTACGCCTAATGTTCATCATTACGGTTGTATGGTCGATCTTTTGGGCCGCGCCGGTTTTCTCGACGAAGCGTATGGTCTCGTGAATTCGATGAAAATTAAACCGGACACGGCAATGTGGAGAACGTTGCTTGGCGCATGTAGAATCCATCGACACGTTAGTCTTGGGGAAAAGGTTATCGATCATTTGGTCGAGGTCAAGGGTCTAGAAGCCGGAGACTATATCCTATTGTCGAATATTTATTTGTCGATCGGGAATATGGAGAAGGTTTTGGAAATTAGGAAGATGATGAACGACAGAGGAATCGAGACGACGCCGGCCGCGAGCTCGATCGAGCTGAATCGAAAATTGCACGAATTCTTGGCAGATGACGTTTCGCATCCTAAGATTAACGAAATCTATCGAATGCTCGACGAAATCAATCAGCAGCTAAGGATTGCCGGGTATGTTGTCGAGGCGACTTCGGAATTCAACACCGGAGAATCGAATAGCACACCGTATCGAATGTCCTACCACAGCGAGAAACTTGCGATCGCTTTTGGAGTCCTGTCGACGCCTCCGGGAACGACGATCAGAGTCGCGAAAGACCTCCGGATATGCGTCGACTGCCACAATTTCGCCAAGATTCTGTCCACCGTCTACGATAGGAAAGTGGTTGTCCGTGATCGCAGTCGTTTCCATCATTTCAGAGATGGGCGATGTTCTTGCAACGATTATTGGTGACGACGAGGAAGAAAATGGCGACGAAAGTTTCTTGGACGTTTCTTATGGAATCGAGTTATTACGGTTTGGCCCCGTTAGGCTTTGATGGTTGTACCAAACGATACAGAGGTAGTTGCAGTTGGTAAGCATCCTCAAATGTTGGTTGATCCAACATCCTAAACCTCTTTTAAGACATCGAATGATCGAGCAAAAACCTCTCGTTCGAAACTCGATGCCAAGAAAATGGTAGCCGCGAAGACAGTCTGCGTCGCCGTCTTCATCTTCTTTGCGTTCCTTGTCCCACCGCACGACTGCAAGATTGTCCAGTTCATCTTCGGCGACTCCCTTTCCGATGTCGGGAACAACAATTATCTTATGAAGAGCCTTGCTCGGGCGAGCCTCCCGTGGTACGGCATCGACTTTGGCAACGGATTGCCTAACGGCAGATTTTCGAATGGCCGGACAGTTGCTGATATTATAGGTAACGAACGATGACGACGATATTGTATGTATATGTGTATGAATATGTCTAGAGCGCGGTTTAATCGATGTACTAACTTGTCGTGGATTCAGGCGATAGCATGGGGCTCCCGAGGCCTCCGGCTTTCCTCGATCCGTCTCTAAACGAAGATCTTATACTCGAGAACGGAGTGAATTACGCCTCCGGAGGAGGCGGGATTTTGAACGAAACCGGATCATATTTCGTAAGTTGCGTTGCTAATTGTGCGTTGGACTTTAAAATAATTCGATGGTTCGACGAGTGATTCGATTGATCGATCAGGTCCAAAGATTCGGGCTTTACAAGCAAATCGAGCTGTTCGAGGGGACGCAAGATTTGATACGATCAAAAATCGGGGAAACACAAGCCGAGAAGTTCTTCGAGGAAGCCGAGTACGTCGTCGCGCTCGGAAGCAACGACTTCATCAACAACTACTTAATGCCTGTCTACAGCGATTCGTGGTCGTACACCGACGACACCTTCGTCCCCTACTTGGTGAAAACGCTTGGCGACCAGCTCACCGTACACGCGCTCTGCTTTTCTTACACAGTTCGAAACTATGTTTTGCGACGCTGTCTTAACGTTATTATTATCCGCAGGTGCTCCACGGATTGGGCGCGCGAAAGCTGATGGTGTTCGGATTAGGACCGATGGGCTGCATCCCGCTGCAGCGAGTGCTGAGCTCGTCCGGCGACTGTCAGGACAGGACAAACAATCTGGCCTTACGATTCAACGATGCCGCGAGTAAGCTCATGTCTGAATTATCCGCGACCCTCCCCAACGCGACATTCAAATTCGGCGACGCGTACGATGTCGTCAACGATCTGATAACCAATCCCGGAAAATACGGTGAGCGAGCGACAATCGCGAAGCGAAAAAATATCGAACATTTTCATTGTTTCGAGTCGATTCGATTCGAGATATTTACGGATTTCTTTCTGCATGTGTAGGATTTAGTAACTCGGACTCGCCGTGCTGCTCGTTTGGGAGGATCCGGCCGGCGTTGACGTGTATTCCGGCATCGACGCTGTGTAAGGATCGGAGCAAATACGTGTTCTGGGACGAGTACCATCCGTCGGACAGCGCGAACGAGCTGATCGCGAAGGAGCTGATCAAGAAGTTTGGATTCAAGCCGGTGAACGAGACGGGGTCGCCGGCGATGGCGCCGGGGATTGGGGACTAGAGGGAATGTGAAAGAAACAGAATCGTCGATGCATTTCAGACAATTTGGAATCCTGTCTGTGCCAAATCAAGTTTGGGATTTGTTTGTTTTCTTTTTTTTTTTTTGATACTAACTTCTTGATGAAGATCGTTGAGGATTGAATTTTTATGAATGATTGATCTATTCATTGTTATGATACAAAGTTTTTTGGCTTTTTTATTTTTTTATTTTTTTTTATGTTTTTTTGGAAGTGGGATAAGCTTGGTGATGTCGAGTAATTGGGCAAGTAGTTGGTTATTTGATAGATATTTGTCAATTGTTTGTTTACCTAACACACCATAGTTTAAGATCCAAACTTGGGCCAGTTTCAGGCAACTCTATTTAGCTCCAAATTTGGAAGGCTCTTGCCCTTTTTTTTTGAGATATTGTTTATGTTAGATATATAATAATACGAGAATTTAGATAAAGTATAATTACTAAGTAATTAAAAAGTTTATTAGTAAAAATAATTATTAGTAATAAATTAAGAAGTGTATTAATAAAAATAATTATTGTATAATAAAAATAATTATAGATTAAGATTAAGATAAATAAATAATTTAATTAAAATTTAAAATATTATAAAATATAAAATTAAAAAATATGATTAAAATGTATAATCATATTTCCAAAAAAGTGAAAGAATAAATTATATGGGACAAACGAAAATAGAAAACATGGACAAATTATGTGGAACGGATGGAGTATATTATTTCGGTCACGAAAATTTTTAGCGACTTTTAATATAGGGAAGTTTTGATTGATACTTTTTTGTCATTGATAGTAAAAAGAATATAAAAGTAAGTCTCCCTCTTTACATAATATTTTATACAAATATTATTGTATTTGTATCGTAGAACACTAATAATAAAAGTATTATTAATTTTTTCTTTTAATTTGTATTATGTATGAATATAACATTAATTTTTAAATTTCAAACATCCAAAAATAAATAAATAAATAAATAAGTACGGAGGGAGGACGAAGGGAATGTAATTTTTTATTAAATAAGAAAATAAAAATATTTTTAAAAGAGAAACAAAAATAAAAATAGAAAGTGAGTACAATTTGAATTTAAGAGACAAATATGATATACTCCTTCCATTTCAACATTCAAAAAGCTTTTATTTATTTATTTTTATCATTTTTATTTGCCTCATTAAAAAGGTATCGTTTTAATAAAATATTTTATACTCTCTCAATCCTTTAACAATCTATCCATTTTTTCATTTTCGTCCGTTCCATAACAAAGTATCCATTTTTTTTAATAATTGTATTGTCTATCTAACGTTACAAATACCCTTCCAATTTACAATATATTACACAAATGTCATTGCATTTATATTATACAATACAATACTAAGGGCAATTTAATCTTTTTACCTTTACTTATACTGTATTATAATATAATACTAATATTCCTAAAACTCAGTACAAAAAATAAATAGATATATAGATATGAGACGGATGGAGTATATTAATGCCAAAATTCTCATATTTTTATATAAATTACAAAAAAATATCATTATTTTATTTGTACTTTATTAGAACAAAAATATCAAATCATCGTATACATTTTATTAAAAAAAAAAGAGAGAGCAAATGACCCCTCTCAAATTGGATGAAAGGAGTATTATATAAACTAAGTCAACCGGATAAATCATACTAAACGATCTAAAAACGTTCAGAAGTTTAAATTTATAATTTTACCGTTACAAGTTCACCACATATCACTAGTCATCCAGTATTATATATATATATATATCTATATATATAATTAGATTATGGAATTATTATTTTCATATATCCTTTTTCTAGACGAAATTTCATTATTAATAACACAGTTTTCTATAATTTAAAACTTTCAAATTTTAATATGATATTACAGCCATAACAAAAAATATTGAACTCGTTTATCGTTTAAATCTTAATATAACACATGTAACTGTCAATTTTTATTTTATTTTTTATTATTTATTTATCAAATTTCATGTTTGACCTACATTTGATTGTCTTTTAGCATTGATCATGGGGTGAAATATCATTACTATAATTTCCGATGTCATATTATTCAAAATTATTTTATTTTTGACAATTTTGAATTAAGTACTCCCTCACAATAAAGTATTTATTTTTTCATTTTAATCCGTCCTATAACAAAGTATCCATTTTATTTTTTTTTTAGTAACGGTACTATCTACCTAACATTATAAATACCCTTACAACTTACCATATATTACACAAATGTCATTACCTTTATATCACACATACTGATAAGGTTATTTTAGTCATTTTTACTTTATTCCTACTATATCCCAATATAATACTAATATTTTTAAAAATACTTGCAAAAAGCAAATGAATACTTCTTTTTTTTTTTTGCAAATGAATACTTCTTTTTGGGACGGAGGGAGTATACCACGTTATTAAAAAACACAAAAAATAGTACTCAAAAGTCATATGCATATCATAGGGTTTTGTTGCCTGCCCTCATCTTCCCTTGCACTCCCTACTTTCTATACCAACTAATAATATAATGTCATGAATATTTATATTTTATAATTACAATTACAATTTAGTCCTTGATAGCCCATTTAATTGATTTTTAAATTGCACAATCAATAGGTTAAAGAGTTTAAGCGGTCTTTGCGAAGCAACAACTCGAGCTCGACTGGTCAAACCCTTGTAGGTCAAGGGGTGAGACACCCCTCGCAGACCTGAGTGGGTGCGTGTGTGCATGTATATATGTTCAAATAATTTTTACTCAATTTTTTTTTTTTTTTTTTTTTTTTTTTTTAACATTCCTTAATATTGACAATACGAGTATACCTTGTTACCATTTCTTCTCTAATCAAAGAGATTCAATATTCTTCTCCATTTACTTCCCAACAAAAATGATTAATTTGAGTGTAAACACCATATTCTAGATTTGATGATAAATCTCTTCTACCTCTTGTAATAATTATAATAATAATAATAATAATAATAATCTTAAAAGAGAAATATTAAATTTAATTATAGAATATCAACCACTACCAATACCTAAATCACAAAGTAACCTCAAATCCAACCACATACATACGTAAAAGCCTACATACATACATACATATATATATATATATATGTAAGTCTACTTTCTCCCAAGACACATGAAGTGCATGGATGATGGCTTTCATAGTAATCCCCAATTTGGAAAGCCAATAGATCCATTTAATCCCTCTATCACATATATATATATATATAGAGAGAGAGAGAGAGAGATATAGAGAGAGAGATACACGAAGTAGATGCCATGGCAATCAAGAACCAAGACCAAGCCAACAAACATCCCCTTCAATTCCATGAAAAAACCCTCAAGATATATATAATGGGATCAATCATGCCAACAATACCAAGATATTTGTTTCTCAATGGCCTTAGCTTCTTGGCTCAATGCAGCCTCTCATTCCGAGTTATTTGAGCCCTGGGAGTGTGGCGATTGTTAGCCCCCGATCCCGGATAGTCCGTCACCTCCATCTCCATTCTCCTCTCAACCTTCATATCTTCCTGCAAAATTTCATAAGAATTGGTTTATTAGTTTCTCCAAGCATAGATCTTAGTTTCGAGTAATTTATTAAATTTGTCTAGTGTTAAGTTTTTCGTTGGTAAGTACCAAGAAAAGGGTTTCGACCGGCTCATCAAGGCGAGGCTTATCCATCATGTTAGAACTTCCTGTAATCAAGCCAACGAGCAATGAGATAAAATGTAGTGTAGATATTTATTTCGAATTTGAACATATAAAAAATATGTTGAATCATGTAAGATAATTGTTAAATTGCATTAAATATTTTCGAATAGTGTAAAGAGTCGACACAGCTTAAATCCCTTAAAGCTATATTGTAAACCTATTTCGCGACATAAAAGTTACTGTTTATGAATAGCGCGAAAACTTAAACCTAATAAGTTCTTCTGCATTGTTCAAACATTCGAACATCATCGGTATATATATACATACATATATATATATATATATATGTAGAGTATGAAAGAGCTTACTTGTAATTGGGACAGCACCATTCATGAAGACAAGGCAAGAGAAGCACAAAGCCACAACAAAAACAACCCTAATCCAAATGCAAGCCATTGATGGATATGATAAAATCACACAACAAATCCTTTTAGACTAAACCCTTCTTTTTTTTTTTCTCACTCTCTCTCTAAAAACTTTCTCACTCTACAATACAGCTGTGACCATGAACAAGATCATCAATCCATAAATCAAATTGTATTGTAAACATTAAGGCAATCAAGTGCTGCATTTAAATACATACATTTGTGGGGGAAAGGGGGCAATGGACAGTGGGGCACTTTATGTGGTGTTTGTTTGGTCTGTATGCACTAACACAAATCACAAAAATTAATACACAAGTCAAAAAGCATATACTGTGTCTATTTCTATTGGGGCAATTCATCGAACACCTTGCATGCCTTTGAATTATTATTGTTTTTTTTTTTTTTTTATTTTATATGCCCTAATTGATTGAACCCCCCCGAAGATATTTATATGCAACAAATGTGATTAGAACAGCAGATGTCTGTGCTCGAACAAAGTGGATCAGATCATGATCGATTTAAAAATAAATAAATAAAATTAAGTCAAAATGGGGGCAAGACATGATTCCACCAACAGAGAACAAGTGGAAAGATGACGTATGCCCAATGATGCATCACTGTGTGCCATTTTCTTGCGGAAATGAATTATTGTTGTCGTCGTCTTCGTCGTCGCTGTTGCTCCGAAACTTCCAAGCATCTAGAAATTTAGTATTATTTTCTTTTCTGTCTGCGTGTCTGTTATTCCGACGTCAGGACAACCTCGTATTACGCTAGCATTGGTCTTTGTTTGTTTTTTTTCATTTTTTAGTCTTAGCGATTTTAAGAATTGCTATTGCGACTTATGAAAACGCTTTTCCCTTTTTGAATTTCATACAGCGATTTCATAACTATAAGTCTACCAAGGTTAGATTCATTTATAAAAATGGATCTGGTTTCTTATTGGGCCTACTGGGCCTGTATAGTTCATTATATTTTTCTTCATTTGATGTGTGTGTGTATATATATAGTTTATCTTTATCATTTAATTTATTAATTTTCTTATAAAAAATACGATACAAATTCCAATTGGTTTTTTTTTTGGATATAAATGTAAACTTTGGTTGAGGTTATTAACAAATTTTTTATTATTGGTAAAAAAAAATTTCCCCCAAAAAATATTAAAAATCAAACAATTATATATTTTTTACTTTTTATATTATACTAGCTTCGTCCGGCTCTAAGATTTCATTTACTTTTTTGCGTGTTGATATTTGAATGTTAATTATTATATCAAAATGTAGTACAAATTAAAAAAAATTGCAAAAATACTCCTTCCATCAGTATCTTATAATACTAATAGAAAGACATTTGTACAAAAGAATTATATAAATATAAAAATATTTTTAATGTTAAGTAGAATGATGCAAAAGGTAAATATGACCCTGGAGACGGACGGATGGAGTATTAAAAATTAATTTTATATTCAAAACATCACATCAACACCTATTTATATCATATTATGCAACTATTCAAATTCAAAATTTTTATTATTCAAATCTCAAACGAAAATTTTAATCCTAAAAAATGTTCCTTGGGAGGTGTAGTTACTTGTACAACTTCCCACCCGATTTTATGTTTTTTTATATCTTGATCTACCATTATTTGATCATTTGTGATCCATAATGTACATTACATAAAACATTTTTCTTGTACTCCAATTTGGTTTTATAAAATTGATCAGAGCTTAGGTTTTTCTCACTTCTAAAAAAAAATATGTTCAATATGTTCTGCTTAAGTTTATAACACAAAGATTTTTATTGAAATTTAATTTTGGCAGTCTACTTTTTGGGTTTCTGGGTATGTTTCTTTTGCCAAAAATCCCAGGTTTCTACTATTTGGACTCTGCATTTTTCGAAAAAAATATATGTTTTTTCTCTCACAAAACATCACATCATACATTATTTTAATACCAAACTCAAACAAAAAATTTTCCAAACCCATCGAAAGAAACACACCCTAAGACTTTCAACAAGACTCAGGTTGGTTAGATTTCACCGTTTTGGAAGTTTTGGGACATTTGAGTCGACAATAACAATAAGATTTATATATTAATTAATTGAGAATTATTCCAAAAAACCATCCTATAGATCATAATAAACATGTCCTAAGTGTATTTGTGGTTTTAGAAAGAGTTTAAATTTGTAAGTAGATGGACATTGTATCATAGATTATCTCATTTTTTCTTCAATCTTTTTATTAAAATTTTAATTTGTAATTATTGTACTTTATACTCTATAAAAAGGAGATATAGAAATTTAAATAAGGAAACCTATTATTAGGACCAGATGTAGTATTGGCTAGCAAGCACAATTCCATCTAATGTTTGTTTGGGGGATTGGACTTTTTTTTTTTTTTTTTTTTTTTTTTGTCACTGTTCATCTCCAATTTTTTTCCCCCCAAAAATATCAAATCAAACACTTATTTTTTATTTTTTATATTATACTAAAAATTAATTTTACATTCAAAACATCACATCAACACCTATTTATATCACATCATACAACTATTCAAATTTAAAATTTTTATTGTTCAAATTCCAACTCAAAATCCAAACCCCCAAACAAACACACCCTTAATATATTGCTAATTATTTGGATTTTGTTTATACATATTTTCAAAAGTTTTGACATTATATATGAACATTTTATTTTTGAAAAAAAAAAAATACTATATCTCATATTCAACTTTTACTATTTAATAAAAATTTTAAAATAAAAATTCTCTATTTATACATAGTCTTGTATTGAAATATTGGCTTTCTTAATCAAATAATATATGTATATGGTATGGATGAGTGTTTTTTTTTTTTTTTTTATGGTATATGCAAATTAATTCGATAAAATGAAATTAATATTTTATGTTAAATATTAGTTTTTTGTGATTTTATAAAATAAAATAATTTTGCTATATACATAGAAAATAGTCATATATCATTTTAATAAGTATATATATATATAAAAGAGATTCTTTTAACTTTATTAACTTACTCAAATATTTTTTAAAATATTTATATCTTATGTCACAATAAATTAATATACTAATAAACATACATTTGGTAGAGAAGTATTCCCTCCGACTATTCTTTTCAATATTTTTTATTTTGATTTATTTCATATATTCTAAAATATTTTTAAAATAGAAAATAATTAATACATTCTTATCACATTACACCGTTCAAATAAAATATATATATATAATTTTTCTTTTTCTTATCACATCACTTAATTTTTGTTTATTCTACTCACCTAAATTGTTGTGTCATAATCAAAATATTACTTCTTATATGGAACAAATAAAGTACTTTCTCCGTTCAAACATTCTGCAATAGTTTTTTTTTTTTTTTTTTAAACTTACGCAATATTTTCAAATTTAAAAATAATTAATTATATTTTTATATATATAAATATACTTCAGTTTATATCACTCAAATAAATATATATATATATATATTTCTCTTTTCAATCACATCGTATAATTCCCAAATTATCTCAAATGATCCTACTTTATTACCTAAATTTTTGTGCCGCCCTCATATATTGCATGGTGTTTGAGACTGAAGAGTACTGCTCCCTCCGTCCCACATGGTTTATCCAAATTTTCTATTTTCGTCCGTTACATATAATTTGTTATAATCTTTTTTGAAAAATTAATTATACATTTTAATCATATTTTCAATTTAAATTTTTAAAATTTTTTTAATCTTTAGTTATCTTAATCTTAATTTATAATTATTTTTACTATATAATAATTATTTTACCTAAGTCCTAAGTTAATAGAGCCATATTATTGATGAAAGAAAAGTATTTAACATAGTGAGAAGAGAGTCTATAATTTCCTTTTTGGGATGGGGTAGGGTAAGGAGCACTAATACACTACACACCATAAATAAAAATATTACTCCCTCCGTCTCGGATACTGTGTCTGCTGCACTGTAGACACCGTATTTTAGGAGGATGTAATTAGTAGATAATTAAGAATGTATTAGTGAAAATAATTATCCTATAATATAAATAATTATAAATTAAGATTAAGATAACTAATTAGTTTAATTAAAATTAAAAAAAAAAATTTAAAAATTTAAAATGAGATTAAAGTGTGTAATTATTTTCCTAAAAAAAAAATGACATGGTATATGGGACGGACAGAAACGACAACGTGAACATGGTATATGGGACGGAAGGAGTACTATTATTATAAATGTATACACATAAATTTCAAAATAAATAATTTACAAATTAAATAGATGAATCTAACCTGTCTGTATAATAGCTTCATTGACTTGTCCCAACATATCCTAATTAACTAATTTTTATTAAATTCTACAATTAAATCAGTTATATGCATTTTAAGTTGTCACATCTTTTAATACCACAAATTTTGCAGTATTAATACATTTCTGTTGTAAATGTATCAATTATATATATATATATATATATATATATTAAAAAATCTCTCATAAATAATACTCCATTCGTTCCATATATCGTGTGTGCTACAGTAGATACTGTATTTTAAAAGTGGTATAATTAGTAGATAATTAAGAATATGTTAGTGAAAATAATTATTCTATAATATAAATAATTATAAATTAAGATTAAGATAATTAATTAGTTTAATTGAAATTAAAAAAAAATAAATTAAAAAATTTAAAATAAAATTAAAGTGTATAATCATTTTCTAAAAAAAGAAAGTGACATGGAACGTGGGACAGAGGAAGTAATTTTTATAATTCAACATAATTACACAAACATTACTCGAATATTACTTTTAAATATTAATATTATTATTTTTTAAAAAAAATTTTTATGTAGAGAGCAAATGAATATCACTTACGGAAGGAAAAAGTATTTGCTTTTATTTCACATTCTTTTAACCGTATTTTACTATTAATGTTATAAAAAAATATAATATATGTAATTTACAATATATCTATTAAAAAATCAATAATTTAATATAAAATATTATTTTTATATTATTTATATTTAACATAAAATATTTTAAACTAAAAAAAAAAAAAAAATTGGGATTATCTGGACTCAGATTGTACATTTAAAAAAATTAAAGAAATTTGTTATGTCACAAATCATATAAATATTTTCTATTGTACATAGCAATTTTATTTTACTTTATTAAAATTTAAATTGATATAAAGTATATACATGAAATTAAAATAATAAAAAAAAATATTCAAGTGGGATTATGTGACTTCGCATTCTCAAGTATAAATATATCTATTTGCTATCAACAATACATTTTGCTATTATATAATATTCACAAACAATATATATGATTCTTTATATGATAAATATGTACTAAGGATAGCAATGAGTCCGGATCCACTCGGACTCGAACTCAAAACCTATTATAATATTGAATTTATAAGTCTTAAAACTTTTAATTTTAAATTAGTCTCGAATTCGGAATTGAATTAATTTTATTTAAAATATTAATAAGATTCTAATAAATAAATAAATCAAACAATAAAAAGAAATATTTTTAATGTAATTATATTGTTATAATTCTTTTAAAAATATAATTAATGGAATTCGGATCCATCCATCGACCCGATCCAGACAAAATTAAGGAATATAAGATCCGACCCATGTCTGAGTCAATACCACCACAGTAATTAGATTCGACCGATTGAATCTGGGTCGGATCTATCCATACTCATTGTCATTCCGAACCGCATCCTCGATTTCGCAGTTTTCGCCGCCGGCCGCCCTTCCTACCCGCATCCTCGACCTCACAAATCGCCGCCGGCCGCCCTCCCCCACCCTTGCAGTCTCGCGCGGCACGTCTCCTCCCCTACTCTGAAGTCGCAATCGCCGATTTGCAGCCTCGTCTCGTCTTCCAATTCCTTCCAAGGTTTGAGCGTGCGATATGTGCTTTTATTATTGTATTCTTTTCATTTACATCGCTTGAAAAATCTGTCCATTATTGTATGCAAAAAGCTGTGTGTTTGTGAAAAGTCCGATTAACATTGCTGCTGTGCAGAATTCAAATTCAGAATTTCATTTAAACAAATTTAGGTATAACAGGTACACCGGTACCATAAGGAAAACTTCAGTATACTATCCGATATTTGTGTGTATATATATATTGGCAGGAATATCCTAATCTACGTCGTCTTTTTCGTTTCAATTGCCCCTTTTGCTGTTCAATCTGTGCTGTAATTTGAATTCGTGACATTGTTCAAACTTGTAGATGAAGTTTTCATCTTAATTTTATTGCGTAGAAATTAACCAACCTCAATTGGACTAATCTTTTGCAGAAGCACTCCAAAAGCTCTCTTTCATGGCACTTTCACTGCGTCGAATTCGCCACTGTAAGTGTAAGACTGCATGAAACATAATCTATAGCTCGTAACTTTCATTGCCTAATCCATTCAAGCATGTCATCCAACAGTGAAAGCATTCGTAGTAGCAGAGAGGCGAAGAGCTGTGGCTACCAAAGCTGCTGCAGGCGCCTCCGATCGCGATTCATATTCTATGAAATACACCGGGAAAGTTGTGGCAACGTCCAACAATGGCCGCATCTCAGCAATAGAAGTATCTGTATGCCGTCCAGCCCTCGCCTACGATGTTCGCGGATATCCTCTCCCCCGCCGTGACCTTATCTGCAAAGCAACAAACATCCTCCAGTCAAAAGCGGCCGCATCATCACCAGATTCCTTCGCCGACCTCTCCGAGTTCTTCCAGTCGCTAACCCTTGCTCCTACTTCAACAGAAGTTTCTGAAATTCTCAAATCCCTAAAGTCCACAGCTCTAGCCCTTGAGTTTTTCCACTACTGTCCTTCCACAATCCCGAACTTCCGGCATGATGCTTTTACTTACAACCGAATTTTGATTATCCTCTCAAACTCGTCGCTTCCTGACAGGATCGATAAGATTAATGAAATCATCAGTCTAATGGAGAAATCAGGGGCCATTGGAAACATCTCCACTGTTAATCTATTGATTGGTGCTTTTGATGGAGTTGATGGCTTGCAGAAGTGTTTGCAGTTGGTTAAGAAATGGGATCTGAGGTTCACATCTTATACATACAAGTGTCTTCTGCAGGCGTATTTGAGAGCAAACGAGTTGGATAGAGCAATTGAGGTCTATAAAGAAATCAGCCGGAAAGGGTACAAGTTGGATAGCTTCAGCTACAATATGCTTCTTCATGCGCTTGCTAAGGGCGAAAAGGTTCGCAGATAATACATTTAGTTATGAATTTCCTGTTTCAGTTTTTGTGTTTTACAGCTTATGCAGATTTTATGCATCAGTGTGGTATAGCCGATGAAAGTTTTACTTTTATAGGCTCAATAAAGGGCTCCATTGATTCAATTTAGATATGTGTGAATTAATTCTTTGATCAACTGAGTATGTGCTAAATTTTGTCAATAAAATTCTCCATTGATTTGCTGTTAAATTTTGCCTGTAGATATGAGTGGAATAATTACTTGTCCAACTGAGTTTGTGTTAAATTTTGTCGATGAAGTGCTCCATCGATTTGCTGTTAAATTTTGTCAATGTAGATATGGGAAAATAATTCTTTGATCAACTGAATATGCACCTTTGATCTTTCTTTATTTAAATTTGGTTTGATGAATTTTGGGTGTAAAAAATGTAGGTTCTCAATGGCTGTATCTTGTCAGGTTGATGATGTTTACCGGGTATTCGGAGACATGAAAAGGAAGCATTGTGAACCTGATGAGTATACGTACACGATTCTGATGAGAATGCTTGGAAGGTTGGGCAAGCCTGATGAGGCATCGACTTTATTCCAAGAAATGTTATCAAAGGGTTGTAAACTCAATTCGATGGCTTACAATACTATGATCGAGGCTTTGGTGAGGAGCCGAATGGCTGAAAGAGCCATGGCAGTATTTGCGAAGATGGTGGAGAGCAAATGCCGCCCTACTGAGTTCACGTACACTCTCATTCTCAACGTTTTGGCAGCCGTGGGACAGCTCGGGAGAATGGATGAGGTGGTGGAAATATCGAATAACTACATGAATAAGTCGATATATGCGCATCTTGTGACAATGTTGAACAAAATCGGGCATGCTAATGAAGCGCACCGGCTATTTTGCAAAATGTGGCGATTTCATGAAAAAGGCGACAGGGAAGCTTATCTCGCGATGTTGGAGAGCTTATGCCAGGCGAAGAAATTCGCCGAGGCGATTGATATGTTGTGCACGACGCACGAGAAAGGAGTGTCAACAGATACTTACATGTTCAACGTGGTCTTTTCTGCGCTGGGAAAATCGAAACAGATCGCTCATCTTCTCGACTTGTATGAGAAAATGAAGCGCGACGGACCTATGCCCGACTTATTCACCTACAATATTCTGATTTCTAGCTTTGGCAGAGCCGGACGAGTCGAAGAAGCTATTAAGATATTCGAAGAGCTCGAGATCAGTTCTTGGAAACCTGACGTTATCTCGTACAATTCGCTGATTAATTGCCTCGGAAAAAACGGTAATCTCGACGAAGCGCATATGAGATTCAGAGAAATGCAGGAGAGGGGTATGAATCCCGATGTGTTCACTTACAGTATTTTGATTGAGTGTTTCGGTAAGACAGATAAAGTCGAGATGGCGTATGCTTTGTTCAATGAAATGGTTGCCGATGGTTGCGCTCCGAACATTGTTACATACAATATCTTGCTCGACTGTTTAGAACGTTGTGGGAGAACAGCAGAAGCAGTCGAACTTTATTCGAAGCTTAAAGAGCAGCGATTGGCTCCGGATTCGATCACTTACGCCGTTCTTGAGAGGCTGCAGAGCGGTTCCCCGAGGAAGCCAACACGAAGACAGCATCCGATTACTGGTTGGGTTGTTAGCCCGCTAAGGTGACATTGTTGATGATAATACCGAATATTGTGTCGAGATTTGTTTTGTCTGATTGTATGTAGGTCTTGTTTGGGGAATTCTCTGCAAATTGAGATGTGAGAAAAGCATTGCCTGGCAATGGCGATGAAGATGAAGATGAAGCCGGATAGACTAATAACTTAGGTATATTCATTTATAACTTTAATGCTTTCAGATTCTACTTGCTATACACATAGTTCATTTAATGTAATTCATCTTGCCGAGTTTAGTTTAGTTTGCAGGTTATTAGGTTGGACAGATAGGTTTACTCGGAGGGTGTGTTTGTTTGAGGATTTGAATTTTGAATTGAGATTTGAATAATAAATAGTTTGAATTGAAAAAGTTGTATGATGTGATATAAATACGTGGTGACGTGATATTTTGAATGTAAAATTGATTTTTAGTATAATATGAAAATTGGAAAGTAAGTGTTTGATTTGATATTTTTTGAGAGAAAAATTGAATGAATAGTGGATTTTTGGGAAATCCTTCAACCAAACACATGCTAACATATTCGAAAAATAGTGACTGCATATTTCTACGTCATTGATTAAAAAAAAAAAAAAACTTCGTTTAATGTAAATTGTCATGCCAGCCTAGTTTGCAAGCTATTAGGTTGGACCACGGATTTACTCAAACCCCACTAGAAGAACAACAATTGCGAATTTTTACGTTATCGAAAAAAAAAAAAGAAAAATACTTTTCTAACTTTTGTCTCGTAAAGAATCTAAAGATAGATGACCTGATATTAAATTTTCATAAGGTCATAAATTCAAATTTTTTATGACTGATATTTTGCATGTTACTCATGATTTATTATGTAGAATGTATTTAGATCAAATAATTTTATTTATACACAATAATAATAACAAATTAGCCACTCTCTTTTTAATTATCATGTTATATTTTTATTAGTTATTTAATAAATTTTAAAACAACTAAAAATACTTATTTAAATATTTAAAAAATATATCTTAACTCATCGAATATTACTTGTTCCTCATATCTGTGTCTTGTTTGATATTCTATCACCATCATCTATCAATTATGAAAATGATTTGTTCCTTGGGTTTTATTTATATTTAGGTTCGGAAATTTGAGTTTCTAAATGTCATATTTTAGAAAAAAAAAAAAAACAGTTGGCACGTTTATTTGATTAAAAAATTTCTTAGGCAATTAGAATAATCTTATTTTTTAATGTATTATAAAATCTAAAAAAAATTCTTTCAAAACGGATAGAGATTATTACATTAGTTTATAGTAAAAAAATAAAATATTTTTATTAGTACGATATAATATAAAAATAATGATAATTGTGTAATATATTAAGAGTGTCATTTAGATGATTTTCACACGAATTTACAATTCATCAATTCTTTTTTCCAAAAAACAAAATGAAATATTTATTTTCTATTTTTTTATATTATATTTAAAATTAATTTTACATTCAAAATATCGTATAAATTCAAATTTTTTTTAGTATTCAGATCTCAACTCAAAATTAAACCCCTAAACAAACACATCCTACAAATATTTATTGTATTGAATAAGTAATAATCCCTCCGTCCCAATACAATAGTCTTGTTTACCATTTTTGTTCGTCCCAAAACAATAGTCTCATTTTCATAAATAATCATATCACCGTAAAATTATCCTTATTTTTTCATTATTATTACACAATTGCTACTATTTTTTTACACTAATATACTCACAAAAGCAAAAAAAATAATTTATTATTACTTTTTACCGACTATCAATATAATATCAATATTTAATAAATCCTGCCAAATACTTGTATAAAACAATACTCTTATCATCTTATGATATAGGATCGGGTCGACATTTCATTTAAAAATAATTTCTAATCATAATTAAACAAACCCTAGAAAAAAAATATAAAATATATTGAAAATAAATATAATAATAAAAATACTAGTAGGAAATAAAAAATTTTGAAAAAGGGAAAAAGCGTGAGTCGTAAAAAGGAGAGCAGAAATCGGAGCCGTCAGATGTGGAAAAAGGCAGGCGACCAATGATGAGAGGTCAGGATCGATCCCCAATCAAAACGCGCCACGTGGAAGAGGCGCAGGGAATTTCGGTGCACCCGCAAATGAGTTTGCGTGCATCTGCGAATCCTTCTTATTTAACTATTCCAATTACTAATGGTCCACATAAATTAAAACTTGTGGCTCAGAAATTAAGGCCCCCCCTCACCCCCCACTACCCCCCACCCAACCCCCTGATGACGTGGCACCCCTACTTCACCCCTTTTTAATTCCCAGGATCAAAATCACTCCATTTTGCACTGCCAACATTACCTGACTGCCTGACTCACTCACTCCCCTTTCTTTCTTTTTTTACTATTTTTCAATTTTTGCTGCTGTTGATTGTTGTATCTGTTTCCATGAGAGAGCCGGAGATCACCCTGTTCGGCCGGAAAATTGTGCTGCCGGAGAACGGCGGACCAGAGGAGGAGCAGGAGGAGGAGATTGATCTGGAAGAGTTTGCTGATGGAAATGGTGGTGGTGGTGATTGCGATCGCTGCGGACGGGGAGGAGATGACGAGGAAAAGCAGCGCCTCGAGACTGAGGAGGTAATTGATTGATTGAATAGATTTGGATTTGAGTTTGTACACTTACGGCGCTGCTGATGGCGGCGGTGGTTTTTTTTTGCCTGTGAGTAATTGTTGCGTGTGTGGTTGTGGATTGGGGAATTAGGGTTTCAGTTAGGGTTTGAGGAGTACGAGCGGTTGTTTTGTCTGTTCTGAATTTCTAGCCTTGGATTAGAACAAAGATCATCTGCTCCGAATTGATCTGTACTATCTCTCCACGTTTTGTTTATCTTCCTCGTTGATTGATTTTGGTTGTTTCCGATCTCCTTCGTTTGTGGAATCGTGATTAGCTGCTTTTCCTGGATTAGAGATCCTTATACAGTTTCATACCCTTCCAACTTTTTCCTGAATTGTTTGTTCTGTTCCCTACCCACTTTAAAAGCATATTTCAACCACTGGTTTACTCTGAATTGTTCTTTTTCCAGAAAGTTCTGAACCACCAACTTTATTTACTACCTTGTTTGTGTTACCAGAGATATATATTCTTCCATAAAGGGTTAAAAGCAATGTTGGCAAGTGAACATTCGGTAGTTTCAAGTAGCACTGCAATGGAAACTCTCTGTTTTTGGCTGTGACAATTGATACCAAGTCCATAGAATCTGCTCTTTATTGCACACGACATTTTAATGGCTAGTTTTGTTCGAAAATTGCTGCTCCTAATAGACGAATTGCCTTAAAATTTCAGGACCAAAAGCTCTGCGATAATAAGACATTAGAGGAAGAGCAGAACCCGAGTGCAGCCGGAGAGGAATCGCCGGATGCTAATGAGATGTCTGAATCTGATGAGGATCCGAAAACTCCCTCCAGAGATGAAGACGGGGTTTCGGAGAATAATGCAAAGGTTGAGAATGAGGCGGCTAGTGAATCGACAAACGGGCAGCAGAAACCCCTGAAGAAACCCGACAAAATCCTCCCCTGCCCGAGGTGCAACAGCATGGACACCAAATTCTGTTACTACAACAACTACAACATCAATCAGCCGCGGCACTTTTGCAAGAGCTGTCAGAGGTACTGGACTGCCGGGGGAATGATGAGGAACGTTCCAGTCGGAGCTGGCCGTAGGAAGAACAAGAATTCAGCTTCCCATTGCCGGCACATCACAATCTCTGAGGCTCTCCAGGCAGCCAGGGTGGACGTTCCCAACGGATTTCATCACCCGTCTTTCAAACCAAACGGCACCGTCCTGTCGTTTGGCCCTGATTCGCCGTTATGCGAATCCATTGCATCAGGCCTGAATCTACAGGATAAAAGAATCACCAACGGAGTCAGAAATGGATACAGTAAGATTGACCTCGGAAGCTTGGTTTCTTGCAAGAACAACGAGAATGGAGACGATGACCCTTCGATTATATCTTCTGTCAAGATGATGAATTCGATGGCAGCAGATGGAGGCAAAAACGGGACTCAACAGCCGTCGATGCAGAACATAAACGGCTTTCCATCGCCCGTCCCACCGTGCATTCCCGGGGCTCCCTGGCCATTTCCATGGAATTCTGCAGTACCTCTACCGGCTATTTACCCTCCGGGATACCCGATCCCATTCTACCCTACTCCATATTGGAACTGTACCATCCCGAATGCTTGGAACGTGCCGTGGATATCGACACCGTCTCCAAATCCAAACCAAAAGCCAAAAGACTCGAGTCCAAACTCGCCGCTCGGAAAACACTCAAGAAATGGTGATCTGCTCAAGCCAAACTCTTCAGACGGCCTAGATAATCAAGAATCAAAGACTTCAGAAAGCTCAATCGTCGTGCCAAAAACACTCAGAATAGACGATCCGGAGGACGCTGCCAAGAGTTCGATATGGGAAACGCTCGGGATCAAATATGATTCAGTTCGCAGGGAGGGTCTTTTCAAGGCACTGCAGCCAAAGCTTGATGAGAAAAAGCTCCCGGTCACGACTTCACCCGCGGCATTACAGGCTAACCCTGCAGCCCTGTCCCGATCAATTAACTTCCAGGAAGGCGTCTGAAGCAATGCGTTCTCGGTCATTTAGGATCAAATGTAAAGATCTTTTAACCTATTTTACAGGCTTCTCCGACAGCTCAAGAGTCTGGTGAACATCTTTGCAGGGACGATCGATGATTCTATTACGAGAAGCCGCCGCTTTTGATTAGTGTGTGCTTTGAATCTTCATGTAAATATTTTTGTAGAAAACTGCTGACACAAGGGAGAGTGTGAGTTTCATATGTGTAAGATTAGATATATACAATATCTGTTGATATATATATGTTTTTTGTGGCACCAAATGTTCTAGGTTGTCTTAGATAACTCACCATGTAAAAAATCAATAAATGAAATTCTATCTCCTACATACTTATGGATATATTTCTTCATTCTTGACATAAACACACTAATCAAATTTTGGATTAATTACACACTAGAAAATAAATGGGAATGTGGTGTTGAAGTCAGCCATTTTTGCAAATGCTAATATATCAAAGAAAAACAAATGTGAAATCAAATAAACACAGAAAAGTTCCTTTCTTGACTTTAACAAAAAAAAAAAAAAAAAAGGGACAGACAAAAGGAAAAAAATAAATAAAAATATGTGCACCTGGTGGATCAGCAACATAGATATTTTCTACTTTTTGGGCAAATGCAGACCACATGTATTGAATAAGATTAGTTGTCAAAGGGGTCCCCAAATTCCATGGGCACAATGTGACAATAAATGCTTTTGGCTTTTTTCCAACTTTCTTTTTCTTTTCCTTTTTGCCCTTTCTTCACAGGCACAAGACTCAGTTTTCAGGATCTAAGGCTGGCAAAAATTATTCCATTCCCATAGAGCTCCAAAAAAGCTCAATAGTTATCCACAAATTCAAGCTATTGACCAATACAAGGCCAACATATCTGCAGCAATATTATTCCAAGTTTGCTTTAATTCTTGGAAACTCATGGATTTCCATACCTGCATCATGTCACAATAGGTGATAAAATTAAGAATAAAATATGCATAAAATGATTCATCTGTTACATGTTGGAAGGTTCAATCAGATCTTGTGTAACCCCTTGAAGAAAATGTTATACAGAATTTGTGGGTTGTTAGCTGGACATTTTGTTCAAGTGCCTTTTCATATTTACCTATTTTGTATTTTAGAGAGGGCTAAATGCATCTGTCCCTCAAATTCCATAACAAAGTTTCTTTCCTCATAATGATGATTTATGAAGGACAAAAACATATACACAAAACTATGAACTGCTCAAAAAAGCTAAGTTAGTGGTGCAAAAAGGTGTCACTTGACTGAGAGGCATCACTATGGGCAATCAATCCCATGGCCAACATTGCAAGCAGAGCTCACTTTGTCCACAGATAAAAAATTTCAAGACAACGAAATATAAGTCAATCTTCCACTCAAATGCTTTACTTGCTACCTTTATTTCAAGTCCTATGTTCAGTGCTTCTTATGTCACTAAAACAAGTAGTGGAAAGAGAAGGAATTATGAGTAATTTATAGCAAAGTCAATCCACATCTATGCATTCTTCTATTCTTATATTCCAAATACTTTAATTTATTCATGAGATTGACCAAACCAAGCAAAGATGTTGAAAAAACCGCGTTGAGACCACAAGGCACATATGCACACCTTCTTCCAGAAAACCGGTGTTTGACACTCTAAGTGTTGCCTACAAGCGATTCATGTGATCTAAGTGTGTCCAAAAATTGAATATAAAATTTTTGTTCAGATCTGTAATAGGCAGTGATAGTAAATTGTGTTTAAGGGGACATGTAAAACTAGAATAAATTTTAAGAGTGAGATTTTCAAGTAGTGAAGGGTTGAGTCCCAATTAAAAGTGACAAGAATTATTATAATAAATTCAGTACATTCTAGATTTATGAAAAATCAGCAAATAATATATTTTAAAATGAATACAGTAGTTATATCAAGAAGGGCCATGAGATATTCTCCATTTTTTTTATTACATATGTTGAATTAGGTGAAGCGTTATGAAGGTCTCTATTGTATCTTCACTATCACTCATTTATAAATCCCAAAAAAACGTTTAAAACTTTATGAAAAATATACTATCTGAACGTAAGGAGAGATGCATTCAAGGTTCAATTATCAATAAATATAAAACAGTATACCTCCTTATCAACTTAAAGTCCAGGGTGGGGATGGCAATTAAATAATAGAAAATATAAGCAGCACCAAAGTGCTTAAAAAAGTTGCAAAAGAAGGAACTTGTGGATGACAAAGCACACTAGAGAAGAAAGTGCAGGTGGAGGCTATCCTTTCTTAACATAAAGTAGTGATGATTTTTAGAAATGAATCACGAGGGCCTCCTAGTATTATCTCCAACAGTGGGGAAAAAAGATAACAAAAAAGACCCATGTTAATTTTTAAAGTTTAGGAGCAGATGTGTAAAAGTTAAGAGGGATAACTTCTTTATCTGCAACCAACTAATCACAATCACCACAAAGTCAGCATACCTTTAAAAAAGACTTAACAATACTACTATTCCCTAGAAATTGTCTGTTTGCATCAAGAAATCATCACTGGGTGGCATTTGTGGATTTGTATAAAATTATATATAGATGGAAACTAATATTATTCTGACAACTCAAAAGGCTTTTAGGTGTAAGCGTGGGAGTATCAGAGTTTGGAGATCCTATCTTCAAATTTGCATCCTTTCCAACAAACGAAAAGTAATCTATGTGCAGCATATCCATGGCTTAAGAAAAAGTTGACACTTAGAAAAATTATTGTCCACATTTAATCCAGCCATGTACAGACAAAGAGTATCCATCGCTAGACATGCTATATTAAACACAGCACAGAGCGCAGCCAAATTGGATTTTTTTAATATCTTTGGATAGGTTTTGGGGTGTTTCAGATTTGAAAATTGTCTAATAGAAAGTATGTTTTGAAGGGAAAAAAATATTTATAGACTGCATATTGAGAGGATGAGGATGAAAATACAAACAAACACATCCAAGTCATGAATTTTGGACAAGTGTTTTGGTTAGGTCCTCTAAAATTTTGTAATAAATACTTGAACAAGTTGATTTCATAAATCTCATCAAAGAATACAAGACATATGCACAGAGGCAACAAATACTTCTCTAATCACTTTCTGCATAATTATCTGTTCAATCAGACAGCAGCAATCCATCGGCGCAGTGTGACCAGCTCTAGGAAAACCTTTGAGCCATGACACACCTGGTACCATCAACGATGGCATAAATTTTGAGATAACCACAGTTCAGAGAATTTACTTATTATTGGCATCTAAACTTTTATCATACTACATGATATTCTCCATGTTAATATCTAGTCCTACTTGGGAAATTATAAATTAGGATCACTGGAATTAAGCAGTTGTGATATCTTATCTTTAATTCTTGATTGGTGTTTGGGGAAAAAGACTCTTAGGGGTTTTATATACCTAGACTGATTAAGAGCAGGCAGACATAGTGATATACCTGAAACTCTCCAGGGAGATCTCTTCCAAATACAATGTATTGCTTTCTGAACATGTCACTTCCATTCCTCTGATTATCAGTTTCCTGTGAAGCAGAAAGGAGTGCAACCAATACAAAATATTGAAATACACCATGGAAGTTATGCGAAGAGGGAAAATTCATTAAACTTGGTCCAAAAGCAGATAGTTAATTGATTCAGGTAGCAGAAATTTACAAAACAAAAAGTATAAAGCAGTTATATTGTTGAAATTACCAACCATCAAAGCTGTGTCCTAAAGGCAGCTGCAAAAATATCAACATATATAGTTAAGTAGATTCCAGCCAAAAAAATAAATTTAATTGAATCAATCAGGCACAACTAAGCTTGTTGTTGACTATTGAGGAATAGCAATCTCAACATATCAAAATAAGAATACCTCAAGTAAGATCTGATGGAAAAATTCATTACCGAAACATTCAAACCAAAACCAAAGAAATATAGATTTTTTAATATGACAATTTATTGCTCAGTAACCAAAATAATAATAATAATAAAACCTAGCTATTACATCTGTTCTACTAAAATATAAATATTTTTACAACATATCCATACAAAAAACCATAAATTTAATATCCAAACAAGGCAAGAAGTTTATATGATGAACTGCTATTGGGGTTCTCCAATGCTTTTCCTAAATCATGTAATTCTGTGACCATCTGCACCTAGAACAAATTCAGCTCCATTACTCATTTTTCATACACTTAGTGGAAAGAACACTTACAGTGACAACATCAGGCATTCCAAAACCTTCAACTTGGCTAATCAATTATATAGAGATAGTATTATGTACCCAGATGAGCATTATCTAATTGTCAATCCAACTATCAAATAGTGAGCACTCACCATGAATAGAAGTCCAAAATACATCCACATGATATGCTAATTTACAGCTCATAGACGTATATAAATTGATAGAACTGGTAAGAATCTATACAAACAGCGCAATTACATGCATGAGCACACAGCAACAATAATTACATAAGAATAAATTGAGCAATAATATGATACAAAATCCTAATTCAGCATGATTTCATAAATTTCGGCCGACCTATCACCAAAAAGACTTAAGTTTATGTCATCTGCTCTACATGTAAAGCATTTATATTTATTCAAATTCAGTATCTCCTTAGCCCGTACTGCACATACTAAGTTGAAGACAGATATAAGTCTATAACAAAGAGTAAACAAGCAAAAAGGAAGAAATATCCAAAAGAAACATTGGAACATCTGGATAAGAACAAAACCAGCTATTATCAAATTGTATCATCTCTTTGGCAGACTGTGCAACAGGATGATAATCAATCTTGTAACACATGTTCAGTAATAAAGGGGTATAATGATTCAAATTGCCTCAACCAAAAAAAAACCAGATGTTTAAAGGTATTGGATCACACTCTTTTCGTGAACAAAATATCCTCAAATCCACCAATTTTAATACAATATTATCTTGAATGGTCTGGCTACTGGGCTATACCACTGCTCTGCAGACTTTAGCACATAACAGGAACTCTTGAGCTGCCTCAAATTTTTAGATTCTATTACAACAATTTCTGCATATACAAGGAACAGTGTAGAACTCTCACCCTAGAAAACATAAGAACAATACATCTTACATTTGTGCTGCATGATAGCTTTCGCCCTTATCTTCATCACTCATAATCTTATTATCACTGTTTTCCTCATTTGAGCTCAATAACAAGCTAGATCCTCTCCTCAAGCTGCTCTCACTGCTTGATGTAGATAAAAATTGATCTACTGAAATGGCATTCCTTTTGTAATTCCATACTAGCATAGATATATAATCCTGAGGCGAAATCAGACCTTGCTCTTTAAGAGAATTAAGCTGTTCCTCAAGAGTTTTTGAGTCCTCGAGCATTATGAATTCAAGCAAGGCTTTCTCATGATCTGGCCTCCAGCCTGCTGGAATAGGGGAATAATCAGTTTCAGGTACGAGGGACATCCGGGTATATTGTAGTCCATCAATTGATTCCACTAGACCCATTCTCAACAAGTTGTGATACTCTGGTGACTGTCCCTTCTTTTCCTTCAGAGGACGACTCAAATTCCGAGCACCAATCTTGTATACTTTTGCTCTTGATCTCAGCTTGTACTTGGCTGCATAAAGTTTGGCAAGAGAGCCTCTAATGATATATGAACAAAAGTTAACTATTTTCTTCCTGTTATCAGCATATCGATACCACTCAACCATTGTTGACAAGAACTTATTCATTTGTGCATTTGTGTGAGCTTGTGTAGCATGAAACATCCTGAAACAAGGCTGTGGATCGGGATCCCTATCTCCCTTCAGAAAGTTCAACTTCCTAAACTGTTTGATGCACTGTTTCAAGCTAGCAGTGACTGACAATAGTGTCCCAACACCTTTCTCACTAATGATTTTCCCACCGGTGGCAGTATATCGCAGAGTGGGATACACAACTCTTCGGCACAATACATGATCAAGAAACATAATGCCCTTAGTTATATGCTCAATTGGGAGGCTTTCATTGTCAAGTTTAAGCATATACTTTTGGTCACAAAATTCAATCAATTGCTTCCTTAAGGTTGCTGCATCTGCCCTCGGTCCTCTAACTCCGATCAAGATATGACCTCCATAACGAATGTAGTCAATCTTCCGAGTCTTATCTGGACCACTTGTTGGGACGAATTCCGGCCAAGATGTATTTCCCTGTTCTGCCTCCCCATCTGGATTATTCCATATGACATCATTTGTAGATGGCTTGTAAAATTCCTTTATTTTATCTTCCATCCAGTGGTCCAATTCGTCAAGGCATACATTGGCCAAAAGAGGACTAAGAATACCACAATGACCCCATGAAGGAAGTGCCGCAGCCTCCTCTGGAGCAAATCCAAAAAAGGACTCCAACCAATATGGATCGGGCTTCGGCTCGTCTTCAGCAAGAACTCTCTTCTTCTGATACTTCCTTTTCTTTTTCTTCTTCTTTTCTCCATCTTCAGGCTTACCCGTAATAACTGGTGTTGTTAATGCAGCCTTTATCAAATCAATCACTTTCTTATCCCTAACATCTCTCATGAGAGCACTGATCACCATCCCAACTTTCATCCCTTCCAATACCGAACTCAAATCACCCTTTAAATACCACAAATACCCAGCAAAATTCCTCCTTATTACCCTCAATACAGTATGGGCAGTTCTCCCAGGCCTAAATGCATATGACTTCTGTGAGAACCTAGCCTCATAAACCGGCTCTAAAATCATCAACAGCACCTCCTGAACAACTCTATCCTGGAATGCTGGGGGCTGTTTAGTGGTCATGATCGCCCTAATCTTCCTCTTCGACAAAGACTCATATTCAGTCTTGTCCTTTGGAGACTTAATGAAGAACTCCAATCTAGCTCCCCATTTAAAGTTTCCATCGAGAACTGCATTCCGCAACGCCAACAAGTCCTCAAGCGCAGCACGTGTGATCGAGCTTCGGGGCATATAAGCTCCCGTTTCATCAGCAGATACCTTCTGATAAGCCATCACCCACAACTCAAATCTCCTTAAAAAATCTGTCAAATTAGTAACAGTCTTATCAGGTTCTCGAAAATTCTCTATCCACATTTGGGAACACACAGCAACACCATCCTCCTTAATCAGGGTGGCCGGGTCATTCGGATCAGGAACTCGCCTAGTAAACGTATATGAGCTGTACAACATCGCCCTGACCGACCAAATCCCGTTCCTATTGCTGGAGCAAACGCCATTACTCAATCGAGAGGGTATCAATATACTTGTATCGCGCAATAAATTCGTTCCTCTGCTTTGGAATGCTCTGTTTCTCAACACCGCTGCAATTCGATGCATCTAATTGTTCTATTGTGCATAGAAACAACCGATAAGGAGAAATAACGAAAACTCAGGTAACCACGAAACAAAATGTGCAGAATCAAACAAGGGACGAAATGGAGAAAGGGAAGCAGAGAAACAGGCATTAACTTACGCCAAGAATTGCCTGAACAGTGGAGCAGCTTCCGGAATTGAAAAAGTTCACATAACACATGCAAGTGGGGTTTTCTATTCCGCTCGTTTTTAGGGTTTTGAGGGTTTTAGTTCGATTGCTGAGCAGAGGCCATGAGAAGAAAAGAAACTCCCAACAGTCGCAATTTTTGAAGCGACTGCAACTTGCTAGGGCTATTTTATTTTTCTGAATCTTTTCAATTTGATCCCTGCACTTTATTCTTATTCTCTTTCGCCGCGTGAAGTTTTGGGAGATATTTTGTGAAATTTGTTAGATATATATATATATATATATATTTTAATTGGGGAATTGTTAAATGTTACTGAAATATTGCATAACAAATTAAGTACTGGCTCCGTTCCAAAATAAAATAATAGAGATATTTGAAATAAACATCGGAATTAAAGAATAATATATTACGTTGATAGTGGGTGTAAAAATAATTTTAGAAAACTAAAATGTCTCAATTTTATATAATTATTGTAAAAAAAAAAAGATAATTTTATAAAGAGGTGAGGAGTTAGTTACCAAAAATACTAACAAAAATGGCAAGATGAGACTATTGTTCTAAGGCAAACGGAATATTATACTATTTGTTTTTTTAAAAAATATTATACTCTTTTCGTTCTATTGAAATGTTACCATTTTTCATTTTCGTCAGTCCCAAAACAAAGTTACCATTTCCTAATTTAATAATTGTACTACATATTTTACATAATAAATACTCTTTCAACTTACAATATATTACACAAATGTCATTATTTTTATATTACATCGTACTAATAGGGGTATTTTTATCTTTTTCACTACAATCCAATATAATACTAATATTCAAAAATTTACGTGCAAAAAACAAACTCCACCGTTCCAACGGGACGGAGGGAGTATTAAATATTTTTTTTTCAAAAAATATTAAATTAAATATTTTCTTAGTGTCAAAACAATAGGAATATTTGAGATTGACGTATGAATTAAAGAATAATAGTATTATATTGATCGTAGATGCAAAAATATTTTTAAAAGACCAAAATATCGTTATTTTAAACTCCCTTCGTCCCATATCTATCTATCCATTTATTTTTTACAAAAAAAAAAATAGAAATATTAGTATTATAGTGAGATATAGTAGAAATAAAAGTAAAAAGATTAAACTATCGTTATTAGTATTGTATGATATAAAAGTAATGACATTTGTATAATATATTGTAAATTAGAAGAGTATTTGTAATGTTAGATATATAGTACCGTTACTAAAAAAGGAAATGAATGCTTTGTTATGGGACGAACCAAACTAGAAAAATGGATAAATTGTTAAAGGACGGAGGAAGTATAATTATTGTGAAAAAAATAGAGAAAGTTTTGTAAAAATGTAGATAGTTTGTTACTAAAGATGAAAATGAGACTATTATTTTAGAACAGATAAAAATGATAAAATGAGACTATTGTTTTGAAATCGAACGAGTACTATTTATTTATTATTTATAGGGTGTGTTTCGGCGACAGAGAGAGTATTAATTATTTATTAATTTATTAATTATTTATAGGGTTTTTTTTTATTGTATTTGAAAAAAATTGATTTGTATTTTATATTAAAATAATATTTGATAGGATATTGTATAAAGGAAAAATTTGGAAATTTTGATAAAAGAAACATAGCCTATATTTTCTCGAATAAAAATAAATTTTAGTCCCAATCAAACTTTTTTTTTTTTTGGTCAAATTCAAAAAAAAATTATCAAAATTAATCCTATACAAAAAGTAAATTATTATTTTTAGTCTCACCGTTAAAACTTTAACGGAATAAACTGACGTGGCCATAACAGAATTTGATGTGGCAAGTGATTTGGAACAACACGGGCGCCCGTGTTATTTCTAATAAGCAATATATTACTATATTTACACCAACAAAGGCGCCCGTGTTCAAATTCAAGCTCCATATTCAAATTGGCTGCAAGGGCTATAGGTTATATAATAATGAGTGTGGGTCTCACACTCATTATAAATATATATAATAATTTATCTATGATATATATTTATTTTTTTAATTTAATATATTTAGTTATATATACATTAAATTTAATTGATAGTATTTAATAACATTTAAAATTAGGTTTTATTTTTTTATGTTTCAAAATTATTTTTTTTTTATTTTTTATTTTATTTTTGAAAATATTATACTTTTAGATGATTTTTTTTTTTTACTTTCGATAAATTTATCAATTTTAAATACATTTATTATTTTCATATGAGTAGTATTGTTAATATTTAAATATATATGAGTAGTAACATATACTACTCCTATAATGTTTAAAATATTTAAAATACCAACAATATTATTTATATGAAAATAATAAATAAATGTATTTAAAATTGAGAAATTTATCAAAAGTAAAAAGAGATTATCTTTTATAAAGTGAAAAGAAAATCATCTTAAAATATAATATTTTCAGAAAAAAAAATAAAAATAAAAATGAAATAATTTTGAAACATAAAAAAATAAAATCTAATTTTAAATGTTATTAAATACTATCAATTAAATTTAATGTATATATAACTAAATATACTCCCCTCCGTCCCATAATAATGTATCCATTTACCTTTTGTGTCATTGTACTTAACGTTAAAAATATTCTTATATTTGTATAATTTTTTATACAAATGTCATTATATTAGTATTATAAAACCCTAATAGAAATATTTTTGCAATTTTTCCTTGATTTGTAATACGTTTTGATATAATAATTAATATTCAAAGATCAACACGCAAAAAATAAATAGATATTTAGTTATGGGACGGAGGGAGTATTAAATTTAAAAATAAATAAATATCATAGATAAATCATAATGAGTGTGGGACCACACTCATCATATTATCGTATCATATCATTCATATATATAAATTTTGCAATCTCAAAATTTTGAGATTTTTTTTGTTTTGTTTTTTATTTTGATTTTTTTGGTGGGATGATACAGTTTTGTTGCGATGATATAGTTTTTCATTATTAGAATATATATAGGATGAAGAAGAAGATGCGATAAAGAGGAGCAGGTGCAAAAGATATGCGGAAGATGACAATGGAAGAAATAAGAATATTATGTGTGCGTATAATTTTTTTTTCTTTTAGTTTTAAGTGTGTATTTTTTTAATAGTTTAACAATAATGATACTTTATTTTTGATATATTTATAATATTTTTTTTACATAATTTTGAGGCATACATAATGACAAGATGAAAATGCAGAAGATGATATCACATGACAGTGGAAGAAAAAAAAAAAATCAAATGCAAAAGTTTGTTTTATTGAAGTAAGTTATTCAATAAATTTAAGTTTTTAATAAATTTTCATTAATGAATTATCAATTTTGTAGCGAAAATTTATTTCATTTTTTTTAATTTTTCTCTCTTTTTTTTAAAATTTTATTTTAACATTTTTCACTTTTTATCAATAAAATTATTATTTTTATTATACATAATATTTTTATAGTTTTTGTTACTAAAATTTACTTATTTATTTATGAATTACTTTAATATATTTTTATTATATTTATGTTTTTTTATTTAGATTTTTTTTTTACAATTTTTCACTTTATATTTTTGTTATACTTATTTTTTTGAATTAAAATTTTTTTTTTATTTATGATTTTTTACTTTATATTTTTATTATATTTAACTTTTTGGATTTAGTTTTTTTTTTTTTTGCGATTATTCACTTTATATTTTTGTTATATTTATTTATTTTTTAATTTAGGTTTTTCTTTAATATTTTTTACTTTATATATATTTTTTACTTTTTTTATTTAGATTGTTTTTTACCATTTTTCACTTTATATTTTTGTTATATTTATTTTTTTGGATTTAGATTTTTTTTAACTTAAAGTTACAATTTATTATTATTTTCATAAATTAGTTTTATAATTAACTATTTTTATGATATATAATTAATTTTTTTAATTTAAATTTTGTTACTAAAATTATATTTATTTATTTATGAAATTAAAATTAAATATATTTATTTATGCATTATTAAATATATAAATTTGATATATCACATATATATATATACTCAAATTGATGTATTAATTTATATATATATTTTAGTACTATATTTAATTTTTATAAATGAGGTGATTTTGACTGTGTTTTTAAAATATGATTTTAAGTGGGTTTGTAATTGAATGTTAATGGGAAAAATTAATTTTTAAATGAGTTTGTAATATATAAAAATTATTTTATTATGTATAGAAATATTTAAATTTAATTCAAATTCTTATTTGCAATTGATTATAATTTATATTAAGTTATATATTATTTTAATTATATTTTTCATTGGAGAATTATAATTTTGTTATCAAAGTATTGTAATTAAGTTATCTTATTGTTAGATAATTGATTTTATCATTAAATTATAAAAGCAAAAATTCTTATTATGTATATAAATAATAGTTTTATTTTCATATTACATTTTATTATAGAAAAATTTGAGTTTTTTTTTTTTATATTTAATTTATTGATATGTATTAGTTCTCAGCATAGTCGGATTCAAATTTGCAAATTGATAGAGAGTTTTGTGTTCTTCAAGCCGGGAGTGAAATAGAACATGAAACCATAAGCTCCCAAGCAGTGGGAGGGGATAGGGCCCTGACCGGGTGCCTGTTGAAGAATGAGCCGGCGACTCATAGGTAGTGGCTTGGTTAAGGGAATCCACCGGAGCCGTAGCGAAAGCGAGTCTTCATAGGGCAATTGTCACTGTTTATGGACCCGAACTTGGGTGATCTATCCATGACCAGGATGAAGCTTGGGTGAAACTAAGTGGAGGTCCGAACCGACTGATATTGAAGAATCAGCGGATGAGTTGTGGTTAGGGGTGAAATGCCACTCAACCCCTCTCGAGAAAACCGCTAGAGTTTCTGCCATTAATCTCAAGATATGAGAAGTAATGGATGTTGCGTCAAACTCTATTTATATCCCTTGTTATTAATTTACTGGGTTTCTGTACATGCCCGTACTTACTAAATACATCTGACTTAATTTAACGTGATTATAGCCCAAATAGTTACATTTTACCTTGATTTTTAATCCAACATTGTATTTTATTTTTATGTAAAAAATATCAGTGTTTCTATTTAAACAAACATCAAACAAATTAATGTTACATAGACAATCTTTTTTATTTAGAAATAAAAATATAGGAACTTACTATTTATTATAATCAACAAATTCTAAACACATCCAAAATATATGTATAATTTTTATATATTTTTTTTTATTGATGTTTTCATAATAAACTAAATTGTTATTTTAACATTATATTATTTTAGTTATATTACATATTTTATTCCAAATATTAAAGGTAAATCATAATTTTTATATGATATTGTATTTTATTTTTTTAAAATTATTTTTTAATTTATTTTAAATGATAATTTTATTTTTTTAAAAAAAGTTATTTGTTATTTATTTAATTATTACTATTTCTATAAGAAATTTATTATTCTTAAACTGATTAAAATATTTAAAAATAAACATAAAATTAATAAAAATTTCTATAATAATATATTTTGAAATAATAACAAATTTTCGTTGATTGTTCCGTGTTTTTCGCTAGTTATTATATAACCCATAGCTCTTGCAATCAATTTGAATATGGGGCTTGAATTCCAACACGTTTTGTTCCAAATCATTTGCTACATCAGATTTCGTTATGACACTTTAGCTTATTTCGTTAAAATTTTAACAGTGAAATTAAAAATAATAATTTACTTTTTGTATAAGATTAATTTTTATAATTTTTTTGAATGTGATCAAAAATGAAAAAAATGCATTTGATTTGAAGTAAAATTGATTTTTACTCTAGTTTTTCTCAGACTTTCAAAATTTCAGTAACCTCCAAAAATTTCTATTTAAACAAAGGTTCACCTTCAAAGTTTGGCAGAATCTATTTTGAATTAATCACCTGTACCCTACCAATACCCGCGAACAATGACTCGAAGCGCATCATTTCCCAGGCTTCGTTGTTCTTCCAGAATCAGCCTCGCAGACTCCTCTACAACACCGCTGCAATAATATACAGTAATGGATTCCAGTGCTGAAATTTCCCCAATTTCCATGGGGATCTCCCTCAAAATCCGACACCATTCGATTTTGAGGCATTGAAGGCGCGGGAAGTGCATGTCGTCTGCTCTCCAATGCTTCAGATTTAAGTCCTTCATCTGCAGGAACTTGAGCTGCTGGAATTCCCCTTCTATGGCCTCCCACTCTTCTCCCTCGAATGAATCCTCTTTTAGCCTCAGCACTTGCAGACTGGGAAGGGATCCGACTAATGTCATTTTATTCCATGGGAGTCGGCAACCGGACAAAGATAATTTGGTAAGATTCTGTGGAAAGGCAAAACTACTCCCCAAGGAAGTGCCGAAATGAAAAAGCCTGTTGAAATTGATTCGAAGCTCCTCGAGTCGGCGCAGATGGAGTAGACTGCTGAGGCCATATTCTTCCCAGATTGAACTAGTTGTTTTCGGGTACTGATCGAATAATATTTTCAATTTTCTGAGGTTGGGAATCATTTCTACAGCTGTCTTGCTGAATTTGAAATTCCGCACTGTGCCGAGTGTTTGCAGATCTTCTAGCGGCAATCCTCTGATAATAGGAAGACGCGGCAATTTCACAGCTCGATGAACTATTAGATGCCTTAGTCGCGCCATTTTCCAGAATTCAGATGGAAATTTGAAGTTGTACCATTGTTGAGATAAATAAACATTCAAGGTTTGGAGATTCTCCAGCTTGAAAATATTCTCAGAAAGAAGATCTACTTCACTCCAGCCGAGTGGTGGAGAAATGTACTTGACATGAAACATCCGAAAGAGTTCCGGCAGCACAGGCCAGAGCTTTACATCGGCTGCATCCAAAATCTTCAACAATCTCAAGCCAAGATATTTGAAGAAAGAAGCATTATTGATTGTCGACCTTTTGAACCATAGAATTGTTCGAACATGTTTACGAGCACCATATTCTACCCAAGGCTCTGAATAATCATACAATGATTCTGCCGAGCTGGTTACAGATTTGTCCGTGTTATTTCTGAGACACCTTTCCCAATCTAACCCGTGGAAGAAACCTTCATGAACAGCTCTTTGTCCACAAAAATCTCTCAAAACATCGTGCATCATGCACTTCTTGAATTGTCCATTTGCTCTTTTCTTTACAATAAGAACAAGGTTTCTTTTCACCAGATCCTGGAGACATTCCTCGGCGACTTCCTCTAAGGTTTTGAACATTTCGACTGATTTCAAGAATCCCTCCGCAACCCACAACCTTGTGAGCCTGCCCACATCGATTTCATAGTCTTCCGGAAAACTTCCGATGTAAAGAAAACAAGCTTTGAGCAAATGAGGTAAGTGATTATAGCTCAGAGATAGAATATTGGACAAGTGTTCATCGCCAGATTTACTCAACAAAGAGCCCACATTCCTAGAAATGTTTTTCCAATGTTGTTGAGTCTGGACATCTGAAAGAATACCTGCAATTACAACAATTGCGAGTGGAAGGCCTCGACATTTACTAGCTATGAACTTTCCAATATCCTCCAATTCTTGAGGGCAATTTCTTCGTCCAAACACCTTCTCTCGAAGTAAATTCCAACCAGCATTGACATCGAGGAACTGCATCTCATGAAGAAAACCGGAGTTGTTGACATAATGGGCAACATCCGATAACCTAGTAGTTAACAAGATGCGACTGCCATCAGAGACATTCGGGAAGGCGTGCTTTATATTGTCCCAAACTTTAGTGCTCCATACATCATCTAGTACAATGAGGTATCTTCGACCTATTAAATGCTGGTATATATGCTGCTTTAACAATCCCTCTTCCTCTTCACATGATTCATCAGTTCTAACATCCATGGATTTTAAGATGCTTAGAAGAAGTACCTTCTCATGATAATCTTGAGACACAACCACCCAAGCACGACGATCAAAATGATACACAGATAGCGGATCATCAAAGGCAGCTCTGGCCAAAGTGGTCTTGCCAATTCCGCCCATTCCAACGATAGGAATGACTTGGAGTTGGGATGAATGCCCACAGAGCCGATCTTTAATTTTGATCAGATATTCCTCAAATCCCACCATAACATCATTTCTCGAAACTCTGGCAGTTGTAGAATACTGGCTTAGCTGCAAATCTTCACTTGTTTTGTGGCTTTCCCCGATGGCGAACTTCTTAAGTTCCTCCACAATTGAATCAGCCTCTTGCTCCATCTGATACAGCTCTTCTTCACACTCCTCTTCTCTCGGACTTTCCAACACATTCTGGCAACCAGAAATCTGATGGGAAAATATGTTTACATCTGCACTTGATATGGAATCCATATGATCTGTGATCTTCAATTCAATAATATCCTGTGCTCGATACGCCGCATCTCTTATGCGTGCTTCCACACAGTCACCGGCTTCGTCGCCTTTGGATGAATAATCTTGCAGTGATTCTTCAAGAAAGCTGAACTTATCAAGGAGTGATTTCAAGATTGGGTGTTTAGCAAGAAGGAAGTTGGGGTATCGATCACGAAGGACTATATCCTCAAGTAAATGCACAAGAGAAGCAAGAGCAGCATAATACGCCATGGAAAACAATCTTAATGGCAAACTATGGCTTCTCCCTTGTAATAGAGGAAAAATGTATTTAGATTGGAATACTGAATAGGCTTAGGTTGTTTCCTCCATCTTCACTTGAAGACAATATTAATGTGACTTTTTAGTAGTGAACTTGACCCACAAGCTTGTAGTAAATCACTCATTAATAGTGCATGCAGAAAGGAAAGGAGTATTAATATACGGTGGAAAATACTCCCAATAATTCAGTTTGAAGGAAAAAAGTTGGATATTGATATTCACTTTTGTAAGGCCATGTCAATTGTGTGAATTATTGTGTTTCTTGGGACCCCTTCAAATACTCCCAATCCACACCCTTCGATCATCTTATGTGATATTGATAAACATTCAGAAGTTCCCCAACTGTTGAAATAAAGAGAGAAGTAGAGGAGAAAATAAAACAGGGGAAACTTTTGTTTGGTTGTATTTTGAGATTTTAGGGGTGGCCCGACCCGATTCCAAACCGTGCTCTCAGAACCAAACATATATTTATTTATATTATAATTTTTGTATTTATTTCAAAAATTAATATATATATATATATATAAATTTACTAAAATTTAAATATTAATTTTAAAAATCAGACCGGGCCAAGCAGGACCTGATCTTCATGAGCTCGGGCACGGCCCGGTTCATTAGCGGTTTAGGCACGACCTGAAAATTTTGGGATCTATTTTTGGAGCCCAAACACAGTTTTTCTGTGCCGTTCTCGGGTCGGGCTTATTTTTGCCACCTCTACCGTAAGGGATGACCGGTAGCGTCGGGATGAACTCGTGACAGTCAGATCATGGGTTCAAAAACCTCCAGGTCTTGTTTGCCACACTTGATTCGCCTTCCATGCCCCGTAAGGGATGACTTGGTAGTATCGGGATGGACTCGTGCCGTGAGGTCATAGGTTCAAAAACCTTCCACACTTATTCGCCTGCTATGAATTATCTTGTTGGGCCGGCAGGGGTTTACTTGTCGAGGGATTTAGGAGCTGCGGGCTCAACCGCGAAACTCAACCATTCTGAACTTAAAGTTCAACTTGGCTGTATATAGCAGAATAGGATAAACAACTTGTTAAGAAGGGATCCGAGCCTCCAATCTAAAACCAATTGGTGATAGGAGTATTCACCCTTATAAACCAAGGGATCTATTCAACACTCCCCTCGAGATAGAATTTGAGCTTCCAACCTAAAATCAATACGGACACCATAGCTCTGATACCATATAAAGATAGAATCCGAGCTTCCAACCTAAGACCAATTGGTAATAGTCGATAGGTGGAGGGCCCTTCACCTTTATAAACTTAGGGAGATCCCACATTTTTTTCTAATATGGATATATTCAACACGACTCAATCAACTGCTTTCTCAAGGTTGTTGCATCGAGGATTAAGACCATCTCCAACCGGGAGTATATTTAGCTAAACCCGCGAACAAGTACTCGAAGCACATCATTTCCGAGGCTTCGTTGTTCTTCCAGAATAAGCCTCGCAGACTCGTCTACTTTGATGTTGTTGCTATGATACACATTAATGGTTTGCAGTAATGCAATTTCCCCAATTTCGATGGGAATCTCCTCTAAGTTGAGACACTTTTCGATCTTGAGGCATTGAAGGCGTGGGAAGTGAGTGTCATCTGCTCTCCAATGCTTCAGCTCTAAAGATTTCATCTGCAGGAACTTGAGCTTCTGGAATTCTCCTTCTATGCCTCCCACTCTTCTCCCTCAAATGAATTATATTTTAGCCTCAGCATTTGCAGACTCGGAAGTGATCCGACTAATGTCATTTTATTCCATGGGAGCTGGCAACCATGCAAAGATAACTTCTTTAGATTCTGCGGAAAGCCAAAGCCACTCCTCAAGGAAGTGCCGAAGCCAAAAAACACGGAACCAAAGCTGATTCGTAGCTCCTCAATTCGGCGCAGATCGAGTAGACAGCTGAGGTCATATTCCTCACAGATTGAACTAGTTTACGTGCAGTGATCGATGAATATTTTCAATTTTCTGAGGTTGGGAATCATTTCTACAGCGGTCTTGCTGAATTTGAAATTCCGCACTGTCTCGAGTGTTTGCAGATCCTCTAGAGGCAAGCCTCTGGTGGTACTAGGAAGAGGCGGCAATTCCATAAGTGGATGAATTATAAGATGCCTTAGTCGCGCCATTTGCCAGAATTCAGATGGCAATATGGAAGAGCTGCGCAAACTAGAAGGATAATAAATATCGAAGGTTTGGAGATTCTCCAGCTCGAAAATATTCTTACAAATATCTTCCTTCATCCAGACTAACAGCAGGGAAATGTACTTGACATGAAACATTTGAAGGAGTGCCGGCGGCACAGACAAAAGCTTTACGTCGGATACATCCAAAATCTTCAACAATCTCAACCCAAGATGTTAAAAAAAATAGGCATTCTCAAAATTCGATCTGTTAAGCCATAGAATTGTTCGAACATGTTTACGAGCACCATATTCTACCCAAGGCTCCAAATAATCATACGATGATTCTGCCGAGTTTCCTACAGACTTGTCCCTGTTATTTCTAAGACACCTTTCCCAATCTAACCCATGGAAGAAACATTCATGTACAGCTCTTTGTCGACAAAAATCTCTCAAAACATCATGCATCATGCACTTCTTGAATTGTCCATTTGCTCTTTTCTTTACAATAAGAACAAGATTTCTTTTCACCAGATCTTCGAGACATTCCTCGGCGACTTCCTCTAAGGTTTTGAACATTTCGACTGATTTCAAGAATCCCCGCAACCCACAACCTCGTGAGCCTACGAACCTCAATTTCATAGGGAAAACAAGCTTTGAGCAAATGAGGCAAGTGATTGTAGCTCAGAGATAGAATATTGGACAAGTGTTCATCGCCAGATTTACTCAACAAAGAATGCCCATTGGATAAACACTACATTTTCTAGCAGTGTATCTTATAATGCCTACAAACGTAGAATTCGTAAGATCAAATTAGAAACGATAAAAAAGCAAAATAAGGGACTTTAATTTGTAATGAGAATTTGGGATGACATACATAATTAAAATAAATAAAAAGTTCAATAGAAATATTAGAAGAAACAATACAAGTGGATTAAATAAAAAAAAATAAATGAGATACTAGTTTGTTTGTCATAGAGTTTTTGGTGAAACAATTTTGTATAAATATTAAAAAAATATGATATGCATATACATTAATCTAATAAATATTATTCACATTCGAAAAATCAACAATTAAATACAAAATATTAATTTTTATATTTCACGTAAAGAAAAAAAAAAAAACTAATGTAAATCACAAAAGATATAAAAAACTGTTGATCGAACTCTTCCAAGAACCACTACTATTCACGCCTCGGTGAGTTGCTATATAAAATTTGTTCAAACTCTGCAGGTACAGCCTGTTTATTAAATCTCTATTGTGTCACCATGTGAGGTCGGAAAACCCTGTCGGAAGTTATTATCTAAACACGATTTCTCAGATCACTTTAAAACCATTTCGTTGACATTACTGTACTGGAATATTGCCTTTGTGTGTGTGTTTGTGAGGAAGAAGAAGACGATTGCTGGAAATGGCATATTATGCTGCTCTTGTTTCTCTTGTGCACTTACTCGACGACATAATTCTTCGTGATCGATATCCGAATTTCTATCTTTGTAAACAGCCAATCGTAAAAACTCTCCATGAAAAGTTCAGCTTTCTGGAAGCATTACTGCAAGATTATTCATCCAATGGCGACGAGGCCAATGTCAACGTGGAAGCGCGCATAAGAGACGTGGCGTATCGAGCGCAAGATGTTATTGAAACCGGGATCTCAAATCAGGTCGATGCAAATGGGAGAGATCTTAAGTTCAGTACTAGTCAACGACTTGCCATGGACGACTTGTTGAAGGTGTATGAAGATGTGGATTCCATTGTGAAAGATGTTATAACTATGAAGGAGAGCCCGGGAAACGAAGATCTTCAGGGAAAGAACTATTCTGCTCCTACCGGTACGTTGAAATCAACATCAACTGGTGTTAATACTATGGTTGGATTTGATGAAGATCTGCTGAAAATTAAAGATCAGCTCTGTGGGCATTCATCCGAACTCCAAGTCATTCCCATCGTTGGAATGGGCGGAATGGGCAAGACTACTTTGGCTAGAGCTGCCTTCAATGATCGGCTTATTTTGGAATACTTCGATCGCCTTGTTTGGATAGTCGTATCTCAAGATTATCGTGTAAATGAAGTTCTTCTAAACGTCTTAAAATGCATGGATGTTGAAATCGATGGATTGAATGGAAAAGAAGTGAGATTTTTAAAGGAGCATATATATAAAGGTTTAATAGGTCGAAGATACCTCATTGTAATCGATGATGTTTGGAGTGCCAAGGTTTGGGATGATATAAAGCATGCATTCCCAAATTCCTTCGATGGGAGTCGAATCTTATTAACTACTAGATTGGTAGATGTGGCGAATTATGTGCGCAGCTCCGAGTTTCTTCATGAGATGCAATTCCTAGACGAGGATGCGAGTTGGAATTTACTTCGGGAAAAGGTGTTCGCTCAAGAACATTGCCCTCAAGATTTGGAAGATATCGGAAAGCTCATAGCAAGCGAATGCAAAGGGCTTCCACTTGCGATTGTCGTAATTGCAGGTATCCTTTCAGACATTTTAACAACACAACATTGGGAAAAGGTTTCCGGAAATGTCTGCTCTTTCTTGAGTAAATCTGGCGATGAACACTTATCCAACATTCTATCTTTGAGCTACAATCACTTGCCTCATTTGCTCAAAGCTTGTTTTCTATACATTGGAAGTTTTCCGGAAGACTCTGAAATCAACGTACGTAGGCTAACAAGGTTGTGGGTTGCGGAGGGATTCTTGAAATTAGTTGAAAGATTCGAAACTGCAGAGCAAATGGCAGAGGAATGTCTCGAAGATCTAGTGAAAAGAAATCTTGTTCTTATTGTAAAGAAAAGGGCGAATGGACGATTCAAGAACTGCATGATGCACGATGTTTTGAGAGATTTTTGTAGACAAAGAGCTGTGAATGAAGGTTTCTTTCATGGGATAGACTGGGAGCGATGTTTCCGACTGCGCAATACGAACTCAGATGCTTATTCTGAGCCGTGGGCAGCACAAGGTGCTCGTAAACAAGTCCAAACCATTTTATGGTTTAACAGACTGAACTTCGAGAATGTCTCTGTCTTGGAATGTCCAAGCTTCCGACTGTTGAAAATATTGGATGCATCTGATGCCGAGCGCTGTTCTGCGCCACGGGCATTCTCACGGATGTGTCATCTCAAGTACGTCGCTCTGAAACTTGGCGGGAATGAAAAACTTCAATTTCTTCCACATATATTCAAGCTCCGGAGCCTCCAAACCTTGATGATATATAGTCCTTATATTCCTCGCCTCTGGTTCAACTTGCCGCCTGCATTTTGGCAAATGGCGCGACTAAGGCACCTTATAATTAGTCCATCAATGACATTGCCACCTCTTTCTCCGGATGGAAATGCACCATTACCTGTCCGGAGACTAGAAGATTTGCAGACACTCGAGACAGTAGAGAATTTCGTATTCACCAAGAAGGCTGTAGAAATGCTTCCCAACCTTACAAAATTGAATATTTCCATCACTGAGGGAACCAGTCGAATCTGGGAGATGTATGGCCTTGGCAATCTAGTCCATCTACGCCGACTTGAGGAGCTTAGAATAAGTTTCAACATCAATATGCAATCTGGTAATTCCTTGGGGAGTAGCTTTGCCTTTCCGGAAAATCTTAAGAAGCTATCTTTGTTTCGTTGCAAACTTCATTGGAATGAAATGACAGCAGTCGGTTCCCTTCCGAGCCTCCGAGTTCTCATGCTAAAAGACTACTCATTTTCGGGAGAAGAATGGAAACCAGTCAAAGGAGAATTCCAGCAGCTCAAGTTCTTGCTCATGGAGGGACTAAATTTGAAGCATTGGCGAGCAGACAACACGCACTTCCCACGCCTTCAACACCTCAAAATCTACGAGTGCTACCGGTTAGAGAAGATCCCCGACAAAATTGGGGAGATCGGGACATTGGAATCCATTACTGTGTATGATAGCAGTATGGGAGCAAGAAATTCTGCAAAGGATATTCTAGAAGAACAACGAAGCGAGGGAAATGATGATCTTCGTGTTTTTGTTCACTAAATAGATTTGGATTCGGAGGCGCGCCTTGAGTAAGTTTTCTTGCCTTTCATGCAATTCGGATGAATCTATCTATCTGACTTAATTATCCGTCTTTTCGGAATTTGTATGCGAAACTTGCACATGCATATACGAAATGGGGATCGCCATCTCACCTAAAAGTCCCCAACAGCTAAGAATCGGAGCATCCCTTAATTATGTCTTCTTTTGTTGCATTAACTAAATTGTTATTTCTGTATCATTCTTCTGTGGCTTTCTTATCCAAGATATTCCATTCTTTATGTTTCATTTAGTTCTCTCTGAAAGGTCCATGCGGACCTTCCTATATAATTAAACTTTTTGTTTCAAAAATACACATGGCGGATGGTGATTGATCGGTATATGAGGAACACAATATATTGGGAGTAGGGTAACTGAACCCTCCAATATTCTATCTTTGAGCTATAATATTCTTTTCGGAAATGTTCAAAACCTTAGAGCAAGTGGCCGAGGAGTGCCTCGAGGATCTAGTAAAAAGAAATCTTGTTCTTATTGTAAAGAAAAGGGGGAATCGACGATTCCAAAAGTGCATGATGCATGATGTTTTGAGAGATTTCTGTCGACAAAGAGCTGTTCATGAAGGTTTCTTCCACGGGTTAAAATGGCAATGGTGTTTCTGTAAGCACATCTACAACTTCAAAAGCAGCACAGCAGAATCATCCAGTGATTATTCGGAGCCTAGGGTAGAATATGGTGCTCGTAAACATGTTCGAACAATTCTATGGTTAGAATGACCGTCTTACCTAAAAACTCAAACTGTTAGGGAAACGTAGCCATTAATTATTTATCCGCAAATGACAGTAGTCCCCAACGGTTTCATGTCAAGTACATCTCTCTGGTTCTAGGCCAGCTACCGGAACCACCACTCCTTTATCCAAACATTTTCAAGCTGGAGAATCTCTAAACATTGAATCTTTATTGTCGATATTTAAAGCAGGGTGATCACATCAGATTGCCATCTGAATTCTGGCAAATGGTTCGACTAAGGCATCTTGTAATTATTCCAGCTATGAAATTGCCACGTCTACCTTTGTTCGAAGGCACTCCACTGTTAGATCTGCAAACACTCGAGACAGTAGTTAGGGTGTGTTTGTTTGGGGGATTGGATTTAATATACACTATTCATTCCATTTCCTCCAAACAAACACACCCTAAAATTCACCAACAAGGAAGTAGAAATGATTTAACCCAACCTCAGAAAATACAAAATATCCATAGATGAGTATGAATAGAGCTGTTTGAACTCGGCTCGATTAAAGCTCGTTCGCGAACGTTAACGAGTCGAGCCGAGTATGAAAATACACCGTTTGTTACTTTCGTATGCTTTGCACAATGGGAGTGTGTTTATTTTATTATTTTTTATTGTTTAAATATAAATTTTGATTTTTATATTAATAAATATGAATATTATTATAGGAATATATTACAAATATATTTATATTTATATTTATTCACATTAATTTTATTATATTAAAATAAAATACAGATAAAATAATACTTATATACAAAATATACAGTAAATTACTATTGAAATTTAATTTTTTTTTTTCTCACCTAAAATGAGATTTTGGGTTTCACCTAGTATATTGATAAATAATATTATTTAATTAATGAGTGAAACTATTTAAAAAGTTTTGATGTTTTTTTATTTGATTTTTAATTTATGTATAAAGTAAATGTATGTTTCTAATTTAGGTAAAAAATTAAAAATATTTTGATATTAATGTATAATTATTTTATTAAAATAAAAAATAAATACCTTAGAATGAGAATGAGAAGAACGGAAATAGTATGATATTTTGATTTGAGATAGAGAAAATATCATTAAGATCTAAGTCAATAATAAACAGATATTTAGTGGTGGACCAATGAAGTAATATAAATAAATAAATAATTAGAATATTTGTGTAAGACACAGAGATTAAAATAATGAATAATTTATTAAAAAATGATAAAAATAAAAAAATAGTTAAATAGTATTTTTGAAATTTTAGTTAGAATTTCCAAAAAAAAAAAAAAACAAGAAGAGATACACCTTGTGTGTTGGTTTGAAGGATTTTGGAGGATTTCCACTATTCATCCAATTTTTTCCCCCCAAAAATATCAAATCAAACACATATTTTTTATTTTTTATATTATACTAAAAATCAATTTTACATTCAAAACATCACATCAAACCCTATTTATATCACATCGTACAACTATTCAAATTCAAAATTTTTACTATTCAAATCCCAATCCAAAATCCAAACCCCCAAACAAACACACCCTAGTGAACAAAGATAATGTTAAATAGGTTTTGAATGAAGAATAATATTGTTGACTTTACCAATTTGTAATGAAGTAAATTTAATGAAGAAGGACTAAATTTACTGATGAAGAGAGTATATGATATAATATTTTTAATAAAAATTAATTTTTGTATGATACTTTTAATATTCATTCTGTTCCACTTAATTTAATTTATTTTTTTAAATATAATTATAAATTTTAATCACATTTTAAAATTATATATTTAATTATAATTAAACTATTTAATTATTTTAATTTTAATTTATAATTATTTTTATTAAATCATAGTTATTTTTATTAATATATTTTTTAATTATTTATTAATTACAAAATACCTAAAACTCTGCGTAAGGATAATGATACAAATTAGTTGAGACGGACTGGGTAGTATTTGTAATTTTATAAATTTCGAAAAAGAAACAAAATTGTGGCGATTATTTAATCAAAACTTGTAATGGAAAATATTATCTTGTTATGTAACACTAAATATATAGTAAATTAAAAAAATAGGAACAGGTTGCCCGTCTAGCTCAGTCGGTAGAGCGCAAGGCTCTTAACCTTGTGGTCGTGGGTTCGAGCCCCACGGTGGGCGTCATATGTTTATACTTAGTTTTTTAAATCAAATTTGAATAATTGTATTATCTTAAGCACGCATTCACGGTATTTGACATAACCCTTTGATTAGGGACAAGTTAAGGATGTTTAATTATTTATTATATTATTTTTTTTGTATAATTAATAATATTTATAATTTTAAAATAAATTTAATATATATGGTTAAAAAAAATTTAATATATGTTTAAATATTTTAGCAATTAAAAATATATTCAATATGAATATATTTTGTAGAGAATAAAATATTCTATAATACAAGTAAATAAAAATATATTTTTATTTATTTATAATTAACATAAATTAATTTTATAAAAGATATGTAGTTTTAAATATAGATAAAAATATTTATTTTTTTTTAGGAGAGAGAGGTAGAAATAAAGAGGTTTTGAGCGGATTAATTAAGTTGATTTATACTCCCTCTGTCCATTTACAAGGGTTACGTTTACTTTTTGCGCAGTGTTTAAGAAATAATATTATTTTAATTATAGTAAGTAGTTAAAAGTAGTGTAATGATATTTTTGCCTTTATTTTTTTTTGTGTAAAAGTAATGAAGTGATGTAAAGTAAGGGTATTTGTGGCAAAAAAAAAAAAAGTAGGGTATTTAATGAAACGTAAATTCGGTAATTGGACGTCCCAAAATAGAAACATGTAAACTTTGTAAGCGGACGGAAGGAGTATTTGTTAAATATGTTTTCGTTTAATAATTTTTACCAAAAATAGAAAGGTGTCAATTGTTACGGGTCAGACAAAAATGGAAATAGTGTCGATTGTAGTTGGACGAGGGAGTACAATTTAGCCTATTTTATATATCACATAAAAATAAGAAAAGCCATGCAAAGCAAACAAACTTACTCTAAGGTTCGCGTCAATCCGAATCCGAATCCGAATCCGAATCCGAATCCGATTCGGATTCTAAATAATGGTAGACTATTAGTCGAAGCACATCATTTCCCAAGCCCCGTTGTTCTTCAACAATAAGCCTCGCAGAATCTCTTGCGCCGTGGCTGTCTACATGTATGTCAATGGTTTCAAGAGATGCAATATTCCCTATTTCCATGGGGATCTCTTTCAAATAGACACAACTTTCGATTTTGAGGCATTGAAGGCGTGGAAAGTGTGTATCGTCAGCTCTCCAATGCTTCAGATTTAAGTCCCTCATCTGCAAGAACTTGAGCTGCAGAAACTCCCCTTCAATGGTCTCCCACACTTCTCCCACAAATGATTTATCTTTTAGCCTCAGCACTTGCAGACTCGGAAGAGATCCGATTAATGTCATTTCATTCCACGGCAGTCGGCAATTATGCAGCGATAACTTATTAAGATTCTTCGGAAATGCAAAGTTGCTCCCCAATGAAGTATCAAAAAAATGGAACCCATTATTAAACCTGATATTAAGCTCATCAAGTCGGCGAAAATCAAGTAGACTGCTGAGGCCATACTCCTGTTCCCAGACATCACGGTTATACTTGTAAGAGATTGACATTTTCAATTTTCTGAGGTTGGGAATCATTTCTACAGCCCTGTTGGTGAATTCGAAATCGTTTACTGTCTCAAGTGATTGCAGATCTTCTAGCGCTGGCATGTCTCTGTCCTCCGGAACCGGTGGCAATGTAATGCCGTGATAAATTAAAAGATGCCGTAGTCGCACCATTTGCCAGAACTCAGATGGCAATCGGATTGAGCTTTCGTGATTACCATAAAGAGAATAGAGCTTCAAGGTTTGGAGATTCTTGAGACTATCCAGCTTGAAAATATTCGGACAAAGGAGTGGTGGTTTCGGTGTTTCGCCTAGGACAAGAGAGACGTACTTGACATGAAACATTCGCGAGAAAGTTGGCGGCGCAAAATAAAGGGGTGTATTGGAAACATCCAAAATCCTCATCAACCTTAAGCCAAGAAGTTTTAAGAAAGCGTCTCTACAATATGGCCCTGTCTTAAACCATAGAAGTGTTCGAACGTGTTTACGAGCACCATCTTTTACCCAAGGCTCCGAATAATCATCGGATGATTCTTCCGTGCTACTTTCTGACTTCCTGATGTGCTTCCAGTTCTCGAGACACCGATGCCAATATAAACCATGGAAGAAACCTTCATGAACAGCTCTTTGTCGACAGAAATCTCTCAAAACATCATGCATCATGCACTTCTTGAATCGTCCATTCGCTCTCTTCATTACAATAAGAACAAGATTTCTTTTCACTAGATCCTCCAGACATTCCTCAGCAAGTTCCTCTGAGGTTTTGAGCATTTCATCCGATTTCAAGAACCCCTCCGCAACCCACAACCTCGTGAGCCTACGCACGTTGATTTCATAATCTTCGGGAAAACTTCCCAGGTATAGAAAACAAGCTTTGAGCAAATGAGGCAAGTGATTGTAGCTCAAAGATAGAATATTGGACAAGTGTTCATCGCCCGATTTACTCAACAAAGAACCCACATTCCTAGAAATGTTTTCCCATTGTTTTGGTGTCTTGATGTTTGAGAGAATACCCGCAACTACAACGATTGCAAGTGGAAGCCCTCGACATTTAGTAGCTATTAACTTTCCGATATCTTCAAATTCTTGAGGGCAATTTTTTTGTGAGAACACCTCCTTTCGAAGTAAATCCCAACTTGCATCAACATCTAGCAACTCCATCTCATGAAGAAAGCCGGAGTTGCGGACATAATGTGCCACATCTAACAACCTGGTGGTCAACAAGATGCGACTTCCATCAGAGGCATTCGGGAATGCATGCTTTATATCATCCCAAACTTTAGTATTCCATACATCATCTATTACAATGAGGTATCTCCGACCTATTAATTGTTTGTATATAAGCTCCTTTAAGAATCCCACTCCCTGTCCTTGCAATTTATCGGTGCAGACACCCATGGATTTTAAGATGCTTAGAAGAAGTACCTTCTCATGATAATCTTGAGACACAACCACCCAAGCACGACGATCAAAATGATACACAGATAGCGGATCATCAAAGGCAGCTCTGGCCAAAGTGGTCTTGCCAATTCCGCCCATTCCAACGATAGGAATGACTTGGAGTTGGGATGAATGCCCGCAGAGCTGATCTTTAATTTTGATCAGATATTCCTCAAATCCCACCATAACATCATTTCTCGAAACTCTGGCAGTTGTAGAATACTGGCTTAGCTGCAAATCTTCACTTGTTTTGTGGCTTTCCCCGATGGCGAACTTCTTAAGTTCCTCCACAATTGAATCAGCCTCTTGCTCCACCTGATACAGCTCTTCTTCACACTCCTCTTCTCTCGGACTTTCCAACACATTCTGGCAACCAGAAATCTGATGGGAAAATATGTTTACATCTGCACTTGATATGGAATCCATATGATCTGTGATCTTCAATTCAATAATATCCTGTGCTCGATACGCCGCATCTCTTATGCGTGCTTCCACACAGTCACCGGCTTCGTCGCCTTTGGATGAATAATCTTGCAGTGATTCTTCAAGAAAGCTGAATTTATCAAGGAGTGATTTCAAGATTGGGTGGTTAGCAAGAAGGAAGTCGGGGTATCGATCATGAAGGACTATATCCTCAAGTAAATGCACAAGAGAAGCAAGAGCAGCATAATACGCCATGGAAAACAATCTTCAAGCACGGATATAGCAATGGCAAACAATGGCTTCTCTCATGAGGAAATTAAATTAATATTTGAATACTGAACTGGTTTAGGCTTGTCGATCCAACTTCACTTGAAGATAATGTTACTGTGATTTTTTCCTTAGTGACCTTGTCCCTGATGTTTGTACACCACTCATTAAAAGGATGATATATGGTGGAAAAGAACACCAATAATTCCGAAAAAAGTTCGATATTGCACCATTTACGTCTGGTCACTTTCAAAGTAAAGCTTTAATAATTGTGTTTCTTGGGGCCCCTTAAAACCCAACGCCGGAAACGAATTCACACCGTCTCGATCATAGGGCTATAAACATTTCCGTGTAACACCACCATTTCTCTCACAAAAGTCTGATCAAAAAATTATTTACATTAAAATTTTCAATCAAACTTATCTGAATAACTTTAGAATTTTATGAATATAAAAAATAAAATTATTACGTCTAAAATTTTTTAGTCAATATATATTAATTTTTATTTTAAATTATCAATAATACCATGTAAGATTTTGTTGTATTTTTAAAATTTGAGTGTATTCCATCTGAGATAGTCTTTTAAAATTTGGACGTATTCAATTAACATTTTTAAGAGTCTTATAAAATCTGGAGATATTCAATCTAGATTTTTTAAAGTCTTTTAAAGATCCTAAGGTATTCAACAATTCATTAAGGGTGTGTTTGTTTGGGGGTTTGGATTTTGAGTTGGGATTTGAATAGTAAAAATTTTGAATTTAAATAGTTGTATGATGTGATATAAATAGGGTTTGATGTGATGTTTTGAATGTAAAATTGATTTTTAGTATAATATAAAAAATAAAAAATAGGTGTTTGATTTGATGTTTTTGGGGGAAAAAATTGGATGAATAGTGGAAATCCACCAAAATCCTTCAAACAAACACACCCTAAAAGTCTATGGACTTCATTGGGTTTTGATGAAAAATTATAAAAATTTTGTATTGTATAAAATATTTGCTAATAAGTAGAGATTTTGATAGATTCTTAAAATTATTATTATTATTATTATTATTATTATTATTATTATTATTGTTGTTGTTGTTGTTGTTGTTGTTGTTGTTGTTGTTATTATTATTGTATATGTGATAAATAATATGATAATATTTATTAATATAATTATAATTTTTAATAAAAATAATAAATTCAAATTATCAATTTTTTTTGAAAATATATATTTTTATATTATAAATATAATATTTAAAAAATATTACTATCATAATAAATATATATTATTGTTGTCTTTTCTTTTCAATTATTAAATACAATATATTATCGTTCTCCCTTTTTAATTATTGAATACACTGTATTGTTATATCGGTGACAGTGGAATAGATATTTATATATCTTTTTTAGTTGAACCGTTAGTTTATATTTATTTTTTTTTTTATTTTAATATTTATTTCAAAAATCGTAAATTATGTGTTTTTACTTTATTTATATACATATTTATTTTTTTATGTAAAAGATTATATAAATAATAGTAAAAACTAATAAAAAATATAAAAATAATTTGATATATTAAATGATAATATAATACTAAAAAACTATAAAATACAAAATATTACTAATATATAATATAGTAGTGTTATATATGCTATAATATTTTTTACATTATTAATAATTATATATGTGTTTGTTTGGAGGTTTGGATTTTGAGTTGAATTTGAACAGTAAAAATTTTGAATTTGAATAGTTAGTATAATGTAATATAAATAGGTGTTCAAACAAACTAGCTAAAACAGAGCTCGCATGAATTGCGGAGCATATGGAAAAATGAGATGTGCAGTGTATTTAAAATCCAATCCTCAAACAAACACACGGTTTATTTATTTATTTTATTTTATAAAAATATAATAATATATAATAACTTTAATTATAAATATATTTTATTTAATATAAATTTATATAGTTATATATCAATAAAAAAAATTATTCTTCAATCCTACAGAATCCACCTGTAAAAATTCATCTAAATCAATTATTAAAATTCATATCTATCGTAGACTGTGAATTTAGAAAATCCACATAAATAAAAATCGATTATAATCCCAATTGAATACACTCTTAAAAAATAAATTAAAAATAAATTTGGATATCAGAAGGAGTATTATTTAAAAAAAAAAAAAAACAAAAAGACATCCAATAGAAGACTGAAAACAAGAAAATGAAAAATCCAAGCAACACAAGAAAACTTACTGTAGCTTCAGCTCAATCCGAATCTGTATCCGAATCCAAATGATGGTGGACTATTAGTCGAAGCACATCATTTCCCAAGCTTCGTTGTTCTTCCAGAATAAGCTTTGCCGAATCTCTTGCTGTCATAACATACATCAATGGTTTCAAGAGATGCAATTTCTCCCATTTCAATGGGAATCTCCTCCACATAAACACAATGTTCGATTTTGAGGCGTTGAAGGCGTGGGAAGTGTGTGTCGTCTGCTCTCCAATGCTTCAGCTTTAAGCTCACCATCTGCAGGAACTTGAGCTGCAGAAATTCCCCTTCTATGGCCTCCCACTCTTCCCCCATAAATGAATACTCTTTTAGCCTCAGCACTTGCAGACTCGGAAGGGATCCGACTAATGTCATTTCATTCCATGGAATTTGGCAATTAGACAGAGATAGCTTGTTCAGATTCTGTGGAAAAGAATGGAATGGATAAGTATTTAAAACTGATTCTAAGCTCCTCGAGTCGGCTCAAATGGAATACCTTGTCGAGGCCATAAGTTTTGTTAGAAATTTCGGAGGAAACGACATAACTCCATAGCTGAAAACGACATCACTCTCCATTGGAGCTGAAAAAGATAAAATGTCATATCGCACGTAGACAAGAGACAGATAGCAAATCTCAGATAGGTTTCGGATCGCACACAGACATATAGATAGCAGATCGCAGATAGATTTCAGATCACACGCAAACAACCGACAGATAGTAGGTTGGTAGGCTATATCTACAGCATAAGAAAAATAGGCTCCGATATCATATTAAAAATTTTGGAAAAAAATAATAAGATTGTCTTATTAATCATCAAAATAAGAGGCCTATACTCGTAAACTCAAATCTAAGTAATATAATTTATGGATAAGACCAAATCTAAAATTGAATATGTAAAATATCTTAACAAGTTTCTAGACTCTAGTGCCTTGCATAGACTCGGCGATGAATATTTTCAATTTTCTGAGGTTGAGAATCATTTCTACAGCCTTGTTGGTGAATTTGAAGCCGAGCACTGTCTGGAGTGTTTGAAGATCTCCTAGTACTCGGACAGGCATGCATATGTTGGCGGGAACAGGTGGCAATATCATCCCTTGTCGAATTACTAGATGCCTTAGTCGCGCCGTTTGCCAGAACTCGGATGGCACTCTGATGTCGTGCCGTATATTAGGACAAATGAGATTCAAGGTTTGGAGATTCTCAAGCTTGAAAATATTTGGATCAAGGAGTGGTGGTTCCGGTAGCTTGCCTAGCACTAGAGACATGTACTTGACATGAAACATTCGAGAGAATGTCGGCGGCGGCGCACAATAAAGAATTACATTGGAAATGTCTAATATCCTCATCAATTGCAAACCAAGAAGCTCCAAGAAAAGGGCACTCCCGATTTGGTCTCTGCCAAACCATAGAATTGTTCGAACACGTTTACGAGCACCATATTCTACCCGAGGCTCCGAATAATCATTAGGTGATTCTGCCGTGCTGCTTTTGAAGTTGTAGATGTGCTTACGGAAACAGTCCATTGCCATTTTAACCCATGGAAGAAATCTTCATGAACAGCTCTTTGTCTACAGAAATCTGTCAAATCATCGTGCATCATACAGTACTTGAATCGTCCATTCGCTCTTTTCCTTACAATAAGAACAAGATTTCTTTTCACTTGATCCTCGAGGCACTCCTCAGCCACTTGCTCTAAGGTTTTGAACATGTCATCCGATTTCAAGAACCCCTCCGCAGCCCATAACCTTGTCAGCCTATGTACGTTGGTTTCATAATCTTCAGGAAAGCTTCCCATGTATAGAAAAACAAGCTTTGAGCAAATGAGGCAAATGATTGAGCTCAAAGATAGAATATTGAACAAATGTTCATCGCTGGATTTACTCAACAAAGAACCCACATTCCTACAAATGTCTTCCCATTGTTGTGGAGTCTGGACACTTGAAAGAATACCCGCAACTACAACGATTGCAAGCGGAAGCCCTCAACATTTAGTAGCTATTAACTTTCCAATATCTTCAAATTCTTGAGGGCAATTTTTTTGTGAGAACACCTCCTTTCGAAGTAAATCCCAACTTGCATCAACATCTAGCAACTCCATCTCATGAAGAAAGCCGGAGTTGCGGACATAATGTGCCACATCTAACAACCTGGTGGTCAACAAGATGCGACTTCCATCAGAGGCATTCGGGAATGCATGCTTTATATCATCCCAAACTTTAGTATTCCATGCATCATCTATTACAATGAGGTATCTCCGACCTATTAATTGTTTGTATATAAGCTCCTTTAAGAATCCCACTCCCTGTCCTTGCAATTTATCGGTGCAGACACCCATGGATTTTAAAATGCTTAGAAGAAGTGCATTCTCATGATAATCTTGAGACGCAACCACCCAAGCACGACGATCAAAGTGATCTAGAATAAGCTGATCATCAAAGGCTGCTCTAGACAAAGTGGTCTTGCCAATTCCAGCCATCCCAACGATAGGAATGACTTGGAGTTGGGATGAATGCCCACAGAGCTGATCTCTAATTTTGATCAGATATTCCTCAAATCCCACCATAACATCATTTCTCGAAACTCTGGCAGTTGTAGAATACTGGCTTAGCTGCAAATCTTCACTTGTTTTGTGGCTTTCCCCGATGGCGAACTTCTTAAGTTCCTCCACAATTGAATCAGCCTCTTGCTCCACCTGATACAGCTCTTCTTCACACTCCTCTTCTCTCGGACTTTCCAACACATTTTGGCAACCAGAAATCTGATGGGAAAATATGTTTACATCCGCACTTGATATGGAATCCATATGATCTGTGATCTTCAATTCAATAATGTCCTGTGCTCGATACGCCGCATCTCTTATGCGTGCTTCCACACAGTCACCGGCTTCGTCGCCTTTGGATGAATAATCTTGCAGTGATTCTTCAAGAAAGCTGAATTTATCAAGGAGTGATTTCAAGATTGGGTGTTAAGCAAGAAGGAAGTTGGGGTATCGATCATGAAGGACTATATCCTCAAGTAAATGCACAAGAGAAGCAAGAGCAGCATAATACGCCATGGAAAACAATCTTCAAGCACACTCACAGGGCAATATTTCACTGTAATAGTCATATGAGGGGAAATGTATTTTGATTGGAATAATGAACAGGCTCAGGCTTGTTTAACGTCACTTGAAGAATATATAAATTAGTGTGAATTGTTCTTTGCGACCTTGACACGGAAACTTGTAGTAAATCATTCATTAGAAGTGCAGCTGACAGGTATGCAAAGCAAGATAAATTTTTGAAAATTTCCCCCAATAATCTAATTAGTTAGTGGAAGGAAAAGCTGTATATTGATCAGGTATTTAATTTTATATAGCCACTTGCAAAGTAAAGCGTGAATCATTGTGATGTTTGGGCCCCTTAAAGTGTTTGTGATCAGTCGATACAGGAAGTGGATCAATGTTATGATATGTGTATTATATATATATATATTGAAAAAATTGCAAAAAGTATTATATATATATACTAGAAAAATTGCAAAAATATATGTTGTATATTGTTTTTTAATGGTAGAATGTCCGTCCCACCTAAAAGCAACAATTAATTATATATTCGTAAATGGAATCCCCAACACTAAGCACGGCCATCAAAGTGATCCCAAATAAGCCGATCACCAAAGGCAGCTTTGGCCAAAGTGTCAAAATAGTATCAATTATTGTGTGTTGTATGAAACTATAACATATATTTTACTCATGTGCAATATTTATATTATATTAATATATACAAAGTGTGTTATTTATAGTAATACCATGTGATGTCTAATTATATTCAGCAAGGTAGCCGTGTCATTAAGAACGAATGCACTTTATTACTAGGGGATCAGAGGACCCCACTTGATTTTTTTATATAAATATATATATATTAATTGTTCTTTTTTTTTTTCAATCTATATACTCACATATCAAAATATAGTACAAAATTTTAAAAAAAATTATAAAAGTTTCATTAGTGTTTTATAATGACATTTGTAAAAAAAAAATTTATAAATATAAAAATATTATTAATGTTAAGTGCAATGATGCAAAAAAGTAAATGTGATCGTTAAAGTGAACGGAGAGAGTACTATTTTTCTTCATAAAATATCATATCAAAATTGTTAGATGGAAATACCCCTAGGGTGTGTTTGTTTGGGGATTTGTATTTTGGATTTGGATTTCTGAGGATTTTTAAATATGAATTTTTAAGTTGTGTTTGTTTGAAAGTTTGAATTTTGTAATAATTATGTTGGAAGAAATTATTATTATATTGAAAAAAGTGATGTATTGATGTGATAGTTTAAAAATTAATAATATTTAAATATTGTTAAAATAAATAAAAGTGAAAAAGTAAAGTGATGTTGGAATTGATATTTTAAAATTTTTTTTTTTTTAAATTTTTTTGGAGATATTATTATTATTTTTATTTTTATTGTAAGGGTTTACCTCACCTACCAACCCTACCGTTGGGTGTGTTCGCTAGTTCGTCAATTAGAGCTGGAGTTGACAGGTCGCAGAGATTCTCGCGACAACTTCTGTGCGAAGGGAAGCCTATGGTCTAACAGCCTAGGATATAGGATTAGGATTTTGAATTCCAATTATGTACAGTGTTGGTATAGTAAAGTCAGGCACAAATTCGTCAAACGAAGACAACCCTAGTTTTTATTTCGGACAAAAACGGTCCGATATAAGTAAATCTCAAAAATTGCAATTGTCTATGTTTGATTGCAGACACACACAAACAGTAGCAGTTGGAGAAAGACAGTTATTTCAGATATATGGAGACACCGTACCAAATCAGTTGGTTTGATTTTTTGAGTCAACAAGGTGGCTGTAAAACTAGCATAGGACAATCTTTGTTGATAGTGAGGACATTTGAGAGAAATAATTTAGATACTTTGAAGTGTGATATGTGAAAATGATAAAAAATTACTTTGAATTGGGACGAAGAGAGTATGTCTTGGATATATGTCGGCTTATAACCAAACTAGCTGAACAAACAATTATGTCATTTATTTTGTTGACACAGTTAGAGAAGCCCAGTCCGGAGTCCATTTCTTGTTGAAGCCCACTCCCTCAAACCCAAAATCCAGAATCCAAGATTCATAACCCGAAACCCAATAACACATATAAAAAGATCCAAATACAACAACTACTCTGCAATTAAACCAACAATGTGAGAAATGGCGGGCTGAGGGTTAGAGCTAGGGTTTGGGCTTCCCCTTCGGCGAGCGAGACGTCCAATCAGAGGCTACAAGGATGGTAGCTTCACATCGACGGCTTCTCGCGCGTGAAGGCAAAGGATGGGGCTTTTGTGACGTGTAGTTGGTCGAAGCAGCAATGGCGCTAGTGTTCTGAGATTCCTGGTCGCGGAGGCAGCCTTATAGCCCGCGGTTACGTATAGGTTTCTCGGTGCAAAATTGGTCTCATTATATTTTCGTGTAAAATTGGTCTCATTTCAAACGAATTCATACAAATTTAATTCGAGTTGCAATTTTGATTGACTTTGTTTATACGGTCGTTGTGGTAGCCTATGTGCCATCAAACATGCCTAGGGTTCACACACACTTGTATATCTCAAGAACACATCAGTGTTATTTAGTACATGGTTGTGTATTATGTAACACGGAAAATACAGGAGTGTATTAATTAACATAACTGTGTTTCTGAGGTACTCTATACCTAGTGTGTTGGATCATGATTGTGTTATGTTTCTGAGATACATGCCTGTGTTGATGACATGTAGGTTCCCGTATCAGCAAAATCTCTTAAATTTATAACATAATATAGTTAAATAGTTAAATTTGCATGAATTCATTTGATATCGGATTAATTTTGCAGAAAATATACATATATATTATGGGATTATATTTGCACTGACCAACCTTTACTTGAACTAATAATGCATTTTCCCATGTAATTTTTAAATTCTTTCGGGTGAGTATTACTTCTCTAATTCAAATGATTTTTAAATCATCCATTCTTTCAAATTACATATGCAGTGGGTTGCAAAGGACTCTTTTACATGCTTGAATATATTTCCTACATACTCAGCTTTCCTAACCTGCCCCCTTTTCTGCTTCGTATAGGTAGCGATTACATATGCTTGTATTCTTCACAGTGGGCGCCCCCTGAGTAAATTTAACAAGAAAAATATTATGAATTACTAAATTAGAATGTGAAATGTTAATTTGTTATTGTGGTATCACTATATTTTATGCCTAGTTCTTGTGTAACTTTTCATAATTGTAATAAATGTTTTAATTTGTGCGGAATTTAACCTTAGTGTTAAGTTTGAAGGCCTTGTGAGTGAAAGATGAGGCCTTTTGGCATGCAAGACAATAATATTTCGTGTTTGAGCAGCAGGCGTTGCAATTAAGTACTGCAAGACACTGCTAGTTCTTCTGTTAGTTTTTATAGCCAATATTTGGTTTCTTAATTTCTGTCGTATTTATAAATAGTTCTGAGCTTTGTTTTGATCATTTATGCCTAGCCTATGCCTAATGATTACTCGAAAAGAACGGAGATTTGAATGGTGCTTTTTGTTGAAGCCTGGTTATCACTTTGGCTCCAAAAGCGTCAGTGTAAATAACAATTTCCACTGGAAATGAAGGCAGGGTACATTATTGTAAATCTAAGAATATTTACTATTGAAGAATTAGAGTTGTGCGAGCTCCTGTCAAACTGCTTGAATGTAATGCTCAAGCTTGAGTTCAAAAAGATATTCTAAAATTTTTAGTCAAGTAATTCAGCTTTGATGAGACTCAATTTACTTGTGTATTTTTGGGGTCTTGGTTTCTGGTTTATGTAAGATGTGTTGTTTTGCAAGAGAAAATAATATATTTTTATTGGTAATCGTAAGAATTGTTTAATAAAGAAATTGAAGAAAATCACCAAGTAAATAGAGGTTAACTGTGTCTTTCATATCATATTTATATATATATATATACATCGTAAAGAAGGTTTCAGCTTGTGCTTGATGAGGGTTGGAATCAATTTTGAGAATATGGTTTTTTCTTCTGAAGTTTGGTTTTAGTTTTTTCTATTATGCAACCAACAATTTCCTATATACATTTTTTTTTTCTTACAGAATAATATATATATATATATATAAACTACTATTCAAACCCCAAAAAACAAAAAATACAAAATGAAACTCTAGAAGAATATTAAATACATATATATAAATATATACGTGTGTGTGTGTGTGCGCACGGCTACTATCTCCTGTATGGTAGCTGAAACTTGGTAGCATATATTAGCAGTATGTCCACTTACCAACCAATAAAGCAAGAACTACAGATGATGAGAATGAGCCAGTTTTTATTGAATCAATTGTTAATCAACAATAACAGTGACAGGTTAAACCAAAACTTCAATTTATTATGTGTATAATGTAAATAGGGGAAGTATTTTCTTAATCAGGTGTTCTGAGCTATATGATGTGTCTTCTTAATACAATTTGTTTCTTTGCCATTGGTTGTAGTTTCCGAGTTTCTGAACTTCTGCTGTTGGATTTTCCAGCTCAGTCTTCGTGGTATATCTTATAAGCTGCATTTGTCATTGTGAGCTGATGTTGCAAGAATCTGTAACTATGAGTTTATACTTTGATTTTGCCTTTTCATCGCAGCAGCTGAAGCTCAAGAAACATCTCTTCTCTTGTTTCTCCGAAATACATTGCTTGCTATATGGTCTGTATTACTATCTGATTCACCGATTCAGTAAATTAGAATCAAAATGTGTAGAATTGCTGATTTTTCTGAGATCAGGTGATTTTCTAGTAGTGATCATGATCTGAACGTGGCCTGTGAAGTATTTATTACGTTGCAGTTTTTATCTGAAATGAAGATGATGAATGTGATTTCACTACCTCTAAGCCATACCAAATTGCCAATACTGGAAATTTTTTAACTTTTCTATCTAACAGCTCTTTGTTGGTACATTGATCATGCAAATCCTGTTTACTTGTTTATTGTAGTGTGACACACTGACACTGTGTCCGTATTCTGGCTTGTTCATTGCACATGACTTCATCTAGTTCTCTTGTCTGAAATGTATATGTTACAAATGTGAGTAGGCATTTGGATATCAGTTTATTTTTGGATTATGGTGGGGTATATATACATATATGTAAGAGAAACTGGATATAATACTGGATGTTATATTTAAATTTGAATATCCACTGGTGTCCTATATAATTGAACTAGTAAATAATGTACTGGTTGTTAATATATTTGGCTGTTTGCATAGTAAGGTTATAATTTATATATATTATCATATAAAATACTTCTGTTTTTTTTTTTTTTATGATGTGTGAACATGCTGCCAGTATAACAAGCAGGACTTAGTGGTGTTTAGAGGTTTTGAGCCATGATCACAAGTTCACTTATCGGCAGTTACGAATAGCCTAATTCCACCTAGTTACCCTCTTTTAGATAATGAGTTGAAAGGGCATCTTTAGTTGTTAGAGATTCTGGTATTTGATATTTGAAATGTTGCTCATTTATAGCAGTAATTTAGTTGAATTACCCAAAATTTTTGGAAATGTTTGGATATTCAATCGAAGGTATGCAAAAAATGCAATTTAGTTGAAATAGAGGTTCTATTATATAGCTTGTTGTCACTATAATCCATTACTTGAACGAAATGGTAGTTCATCGAATCTTATTGAATGCTTGACGATTTATCTGTACCTTTCTAAAAATTCGATTCTTGCTGATATGTTACATTGCTGCTGCTTCTGCCTCAAGTCTCTAATGGTAAGTTTAGCTATAGCATCAGTAGTTTATCTGAATCTTGGAATACTTCTAAGACAAAAAATCCATTGGAAAGCAAGACCTATAAGTGTAATAACACATCTGAGTATAATAAATTCGGTACATAGTGTAGCTGGCACGATGTGGTAAGCCCATGTGGTGTGTCTCTGTTCTGTTTCTTCATTTAATACAACTCATGCCTTTATTTTTCTTGTATCATGCATTGCAGGTAGGTAGGTAGATCCACGCAAAAATCTGGACAAATTTCAGCTAATAATTCAGCTTTGCTTGGCTGTCTCATGACAACCTAATCTTGCTTGCATCTCCAAGGTTAGCCAGACTAAGCAAACTAATGTTAATTATGTTATTTTAAGGGTGTGTTTGTCTGTGTTTTTTTTCTGAGTGTTCTAGATGCTTCACATTTGAATATTTTTAATAGAAAATATAGGGCTTGTTTGCTTTTGGTTTGAGTTTGAATCTTTATTATTTAAATTTTAGTTTAAATGGTATTTTAATGTGATATTTTGTGAGAGAATATTATATTTTTATTAGGAATTGTGCCAACATATAGTGTTGATTTTCCAACTATTTTGAAAGTAATATTTTAAGGGTGTGTTTGGTTGGGGGTTTGGGTTTTGGGTTTGAATTTTGAATAGTAAAAATTTTGAATTTCAATAGTTGTATGATATGATATAAATAAGTGTTAATGTTACGTTTGAATGTAAAAATAATTTTTAATTATAAAAAAGTTAAAAAAAAAAATAGTTTGATTTGAATGTTTGACAAATAGTTTTTTATCAATTTTCTTAAATTTGATCCAAATTCAGGTGCTACAAATCCTATCATTAGACGGGCTTAAATGTTCGAGCTATACGTAAGCCATGTGTTGTTTCGCGAACTTTCTTGTTCCTCTGAGTCATCATTTACCATTGGAAGTTCTTATTTTGTTCGGTATTTTTGTATCCATTTCAGAAGTGCTTTGATGGATAGGTAATTTGTCCGGACTTTGTTGAAAATGATTTACTACTAATTTATATCTATGAAATTTTCATAATTACGTCTGCGTGTGGATATTTGTTTGTGTTCATGTAGAGACAAAGTTGATTTAATGAGAAAATAGACAGCACATGGAAAAGGTCGGATTTAGGTGTCATAATATTGAATGTGTGATGTTGTAGTAAAGGTGCAATGTGTGTGGTGTGTTATCCATAGAAATTGATGAGTAGATACCGATGCCACGACTCGCCCTCTCTCCCTTTCGTCTCTCCTTTTTCGCCTTTTCGTATTTGGTTATTTGTTTTATTTTTTGTAAGATAGGATTCGAAAACGATGGCAATGGAGATACATGTAAATTGTTTGCCCATTTTGATCCAGACACTTTGTTAGGTTCTTTTCTTTTTTGTTGTGAATGTAAATGTAAATGTAAATGAACCCTTCAATAAATACAAAGTATACAACATAAATTGTGTGTATTTTTATAGCAAATTTTTAAATTTGAATTATTGTTTGATTTAAATAATTGTGTGAAAAAATTCTAAACAAAAACAATCTAAATAATTTTTTTAGAAAATAATGTCTTTGTTTATTTATGTATTTAGAAATTTTAATATTTTTTTTATCAACAATAATTTGTTTTTTAAATACTCTCTCCGTCCCAATACAATAGTGTTGTTTATTATTTTTGTCCGTCTCAAAACAATAGTCGTATTACTATAAAATTATTCTTAATTTTTTCATTATTATTACATAATTGTCAACTGTTTTTTACACAGAGAAAAAAATATATTTTACGGAGGGAGTATATGTTTTGTAAAATATTACTCCATTTTAAATTTTCTAATTTAAATTTTTTTAATTTCAATTAAATTAATTAGTTATTTTAATTTTAATTTATAATAATTTGTATTATATGTTATTTATTTTTATTAATAAATTGGTAATTATTTACTAATTATATTTATTCTAAATTTGGTGAGGACATTAAGCAGTCAATTTTTGTTTTAAAATATCAAATTAATGTTTTATAACTTATTTTAGGGCCTACTTTTTTTTGTTTTCTTTTATATGTTTCTTGTTGCTTTGATGTGTGATGATAGCTTCTTTTCGTATTTAATGTCTTTTTCATTTGCTAAATTAATCTTAAAATACTTTTACATTTAAAAATATCAATTCCTTGTATTTATATGCTTATTTAAAATATTATATACGCACTTTACTTTTTTATAAAAGAAATTAAATTCAATCCACATATTTTTGGTTTAACTATTACTATATTTTAAATTCAATATTAATATCCTCAAATGTCAATAAACTGAAATTACCAAAAGGCCCCCAATCCCGAATATACCTAAGATTCGATTTGCTATCTTGTCGGGAGGTAAACGAAATCTTGAATTAAAATTAGTACCGTACACCTCATCCAATTTTTCCCCACAAAATTGAAAGTGAAAACAAAATCCTAAACATTATTATTTTCTTGATTGTTTTAAAAATATATACATTTTATATATTTTAAATAAAAGTATTCTACGTGTCACTTAAAATGCATTTACTTTCTTTACAATTTATAAAATAGGTTTGTCCGGTTTTAAAAATATAAATATATTAATAAAAATAATTATTTTATAATTAAAATAATTATAAATTAATATAACTTATCAGTATAATTAAAATTTAAAAAATTATAAATTAATTTTTTTAAAATAAGATTGAAGTGTATAATTCTTTTAAAAAAAATGCAAGTGACAATAAATGGGACGGACAAAAATGAAAAGGTGGACATGAGAAGTGAGACCGAGGGAATAGTATTACTTTTTTGTTATAAAATATTTAAAAACAATACTCTTCATCTCATTTATCGTGCCCATCTTTCTATTTCTGTGTATCATACTTATCCTGTAAATTCTCGTGTTTAAGTGAAAGGGCACTGAACTTTGTACTTATTAATTATATCCCTTGTAAATTTTCGTGTCTACAGTAAATGAGACATCGTAGCCGGGACGGAAGAATATAATACTCTCTCCGGTCCACAACAATAATCTCATTTTTCCGTTTTGTCCGTCCCAACACAATACCCGCTATCAATATAATACTATTATGAAATATACACGGTTGTATATAATACGTTACTTCCGTTATATCAACGTCAACAATTTTCGTTAATTTTTTTACGATGAGATCAAAAATTTAATTAAATTTGTTTATAATGAAACTTAAATTGATTAAAATTATTTATGATGAAATTAAAATTAATATATTTTAATTATATTAAAACCAAATTTTTTTTTTTTTTTTTTTTTCCGTAAAAAGTTACCTAAGAAACTCAAAATGAACAGAAGAAGACAATATTACCATGAAGACAAAATCAAATGATTTATCTTCCTTCTTGTTTACAACTTGCAACAACCATAACACACACAAACAGGAGGGAGGGCTCATATCTAAAAACCCAACAGCCCTTTTGACACCAACAATAATATACACATATATCTCTATATCCTATATATATATATATATGTACAAAAAAAAAAAAAAAAACTTCACAAATCCCCTTTTAAGCTTAATAGCTTCTTACATCCTTAAACCATTACTAAATCTTCCTTCCCTTCTTTCAATCCCACCTTTCCCTCGTCTTTTCCGATCGCGCCGTGTTTTGAAACAACCGGCACTTCTTCCTCTTCCTTCCTCGGCACCCAATCCATAGGTATCTGCCCAATCGAGGCCAATGCCGAAAGTTCTTGTTCAGACAAACCCTTAGCTGGCACAAGGTTGCACCGCGGCGCACAGTGTTTTGCCAATGCATCCTTAAACTTCTTGATCTGGACAAATTACCAAATTTATTACATTTCATCGAAATCAAAACACTCGATATATATATATATATAGGTTGTGTCGGGTTTTTACTATTCAAATTTTTTTTCTTCTCCAAAATATATCACATCAAACAATTATTTTTCTTTTTTTTATATTATACTACAAATTAATTTTAAATTCAAAACATGACGTCAACCTCTGTTTATATCACATCAAACAGCTATTCAAATTCAACCTTTTTACTACTCAAAAAATCCAAACCCGAAAACGAAAACCCACAGACAAACATAGTGTTTTAATGAAACAATTGAATTAAAAATCGACTCACTGTTGCATTGGTGCAGCTAAAGCTACACACTCTGCCGTCAGCGCCTCTGTAGAATCGAAAAAACGGTAACACGTGGACGTGGAGGGCGTAACACATTTCCTTGTGGCGCTCGTAATTCACTGTCAGAAAAATGGCATCCGGATTCGACTCTGCCAGCTGACAAATCTGTCCCAACACAACATAAGATCTAGAATTATTACAACCGGCCATTAACAATGTCCGAAAACCGTTTAGGTACTATTAGTAAATTTTTCAAACATCATTACATCAGATATGTATTTCCTTCCACAAATACCCAATTTTTTACAATTTCCGAAACTACAAAATTATTTCAAACGGCAATCTACAATGTCCGAAAAGATCTAACCGTTTACAAACACACTTTTGAGAGTTTTAACATGTTTACTAACTTATTCAAAGATCTATAGCATCAAATATTTGTTTCTTTTCACAAAGCCTTAGCTCAAATACCTAAATTTTTTTTTTACTATTTCCGAAGCTCCAAAATTATTACAACCAGAGATCAACAATGTCGGAAAGCTATGGAATTCGGACCTTAGGATGCAAAGCTCTGCAGCCGCCACAGCCAGGGGAGTAGAAATCGACGATTACCAATCTGTCCCCGCTATTCCTTAAACGGAAAACCAAATCTTCGGCAGATTCGATTTCTACCATGTTTGGCTGTAGGGACTTCTCCCACCATCTCTGAGCTTTCCCGAACGACACCGTCGCCGGCGCCGGCGCCGCCGTAGCCTGAAACCGACAGGCAGAGAAACAAATTCAGTAAATAGTGAAAGAAATCGAAAAAAGACAACGAAATAAAAGCAATTTTAAAAAATACTTACATAGACAGGCTCCAACTTCCCGACCCCTTTCTGATCGGACAAATCTAGGGTTAGGGTTTTGCCCCAAAATAATTCCTTCGAAATCGAATTCGAATCCCTAAATTGTAGAGAACAGCCAATCGAAGGGCAAACCCTAAACGCACCTCTGGCATCCTTGGAGCCTGAAATAATGGAAAACCCAGACCTCAACGAACATGATGACATGCTGCCTGCTCTACTGTTCTTGCAACCTTATCGCATCAAATCAAAAATCAACAATTCCGACAAATACTCCGTCCGATTGAAAGAAATTCAAGAATCGTGGGTGAGATCGAGGAAGAAACAGAGGAGGAAAGGAAAGTTGAGGTAAGAGCTAAAAATGGGGGATTAAAGCGGCGGGGGAGAAGAAGGAAAATGTGAAGCAGAAGGTGGGGTCGGATAGATTTTATCTTATCGGCCTTATCCGAATACTTTTTTCCCTTTTTTTTTTTAATTTTAAAAAAAAAAATTAGGTTTAGGATTAGGGTTATTTCGACGAGTGATTTGTTGGAAGGATTTGGATTTTGAGGGGAGATTTGAATAGTAATAGTATTGAGTTATAATAGCTGTATTATCTTATATAAACAGGTATTGATGTGATATTTTGAATGTAAAAATAATTTTTAGTAATTTTTTTGTTTTATTGAAAAAAAATTATCATTTTATTTTTGTTCGTTCTAAAATTAGATTATTATTTCTTAATTTAGTAATTATATTATCTATCTAATATAATAAACACTCTTCCAACTTACACTATATTATACAAATGTCATTACTTTCATATTACATAATACTCATAGGGGTATTTTCATTTTTCTATATTACAACTCATTATAATACTAATATTTAGAAATCTAGCGTTGCAAAAAGTAAACGATAACCTTGTATGAGAACGGAGTGAGTATAATATAAAAAATGAAAAATAAATATTTGATTCCATTTTTTTTGGAATAAAAAAAAATTAGATGAATAGTATAATTTTGTACTGAAGAATTTTGATTTAGTAAATAATCCAACGGATAAAGATTAGGATAAAAACGATAAACTGCGGAGAATGGTAGTTAGGCGTTTCTGGTATTTTAAGGTTTTCAATACCGACACGTGGTGTGTCGGGATTCGTGCACCTGTGTTGTCCTCGATTTTTATTTTTATTTTGATTTTGTCCTCCGGCTCTATTTACATTATTATTATTATTATTATTTTTTGTTTTTTTCTTTTTAAATAATTGCGAGGGGCAAATGGCAATGTAATTATTGAGGTGATTTGTAAGTTAAATTGTAATTGTAAAATCATAAAGATATAGGGTCTGTTTGTTTTGTGTTTTGGTTTAAAGAAAAAAAAATATTTACGTGAAGTATAAAAAATAATATAAAAATTATTAGTATATGTAATATATTAAATTTTTAAGAAAATATGTTAATTTATTTTGAGTAAAAGAATACACCTATATTTTATTTGAGTAAAAACTATAATTACTAAAATAACGAATATAATACAAAGAATATTAAAATGATAAAATAAATTCAATGAGAGTAGTTTAAGGAAAAATATAACAAAACAAATAGACAAGTAAATTAATACATAAATAGATAGACAAAATATTATTTAAATAAAACTCTAAATTAAGATTCTATCTATTTCAAATTACACAAAACAAACAGAGAAGTAAATTAAGATTTAAATAAGAAAATTAAATTGAAATGAAATTTGTAAGGCCAAAGATAAGATTTTGAAATTTTATTTTGAATTGGGATGAAAATATTTTTACTTAAATGCAATTTATTGTCAATAATTAATTTCATTGAGACATAATCTTATGCTTGCAACCTAACCCTATTAAAAAATAAACAAATATATAATTCTATGGATATATGTTTAATTTTGGTTTAAGTTTGGTATTAAAATAATGTTTGATTAGATGTTTTGTAAGAGAAAAAAATGTATTTTTTATTTTGAAACGCAAAGTTCAAATAGTAAAATTTGGAAAAATTTGTGTAAAATAATCTTTAGTTGTTCTAAAGATTTGGTACAACATTTCTAATTTGGACCCATTTTTATGTGATTTGCAAGTAAGGTTTATTTTTTGGATCCATTGTAAATTTGTCTCTTCTATGTGTTCGTTTGGCAAATTTTATTGGATTTCTATTTATCAAATTTTATTTTTAAAAAAAAAAAATATAAAATCAAATCAAATACTTATTTTTTATTTTATTTTTTATATTATAACAAAAATTAATTTAACATTCAAAACACCACGGTTAATACCTACTTATATCATGTCATACAACTATTCAAATTCAAATTTTTTACTATACATCTATCTTTACAATAATAAATAGATATTCCGCCCATCTCATGTCTATCTATATGTTTATTTTTTTTACAGAGTTTTAGAAATATTATTATTATATTGAGATTTAGTATACATAAAGATAAAAAGACTAAACTATTCTTATTAGTATTATATGATATAAAAATAATGACATTTACGTAATATATTGTAAATTGAAAGAGTATTTATAATGTTAAATAATAGTACAATTATTAAAAAAAAGAAATTGATATTTTGTTATGGAACGGACCAAAATGAAAAAATAAATAAATTGTTAAGGAACGGAAAAGTATAAATTTATTTAGTTGTACTTTAGTACTCCCTCCGTCCCGAAACTAAGTATCCATTTGTTTTTTGCACGTAGTTTTAGAAATATTAGTATTATATTGGGATATTATAGGAATAAAGTAGAAATAACTAAAATAACTTTATTAGTATGTGTGATATAAAGGTAATGACATTTGTGTAATATATTGTAAGTTGTAAGAGTATTTGTAATGTTAGTTAGAAACTACAGTTACTAAAAGATGAAATTGATACTTTGTTATGAGACGGACTAAAATGAAAAAATAGATATTTTGTTATGAGACGGGGGGAGTATTTTGTATACACCAAAATTTTGTTTAAATAGTCATTAATGTTATATGGATTTTTATTATTTTTTAAATAAAGAATGTGTCGTTAAAGAAAATTTTGGAGGAAACATATTTACATATACCAAAAGTTTGAATGAAAAATAAATATTGAATAACATGTAATCCGTGTAAACTGTTATAATGAATTATAGTAAGTTGTTTTTTCATATAATATTTAAATATATATATATATATTTCAAATGTCAACTATTCTATTTCAAAAATTTACAAAATCAGACATATTTTATATGTATAAATAATACATATATATTATTTCTATTAATTATTTTAGCATACTAATATCTTTTTTAAATATATAACAAGAAATGATATATAATTAGTATGAAAGTTTATTAATATTTTTATAGATTGTGTTTATATATGTATAGTAGTAATTATATCTTCGTTGATACAAAAATAAAAAATAAAAAAATCGTCACATAGTAAATTTAATATTAATTGTTGATTAGTCTTAAAAATATTTGTATCTTTCTACAAAATATTTATCAATACAATTAATTATTTGTTTAATATTATTTTAACAATTTATACAAATTGTGCATCGCACGAGTTTATACACGCTACTAATGAATTATAATAAGTTGTTTTATATATATATATAATAATTAAATGAATATATATATATGTATGATATACACCTCCGTCCCACCACAATTGACACTATTTCCATTTTTGTTTGTCCTGTAACAATTGATACATTTTTTATATTTGGTAAAAATTATTAAATCTAAACATATTTAACAAATATAAATTAATTTAATTAACTACATGACATATAACATCATAAATGACGTAGGATCCACTTCAAACCCCTTTATTTCTATTTCTCTCCTAAAAAAAATAAATATTCTTATCTATATTTAAAACTATACATCTTTTGTAAAATTAATTTATGTTAATTATAAATAAACAAATTTTTTTTATTTACTTGTATTATAGAAAATTTTATTTTCTACAAAATGATATCCATATTATATATATTATAATAGCTATATAATTTTTAAATATTTAAACATATATTTTGATTTTTTTTAATCATATATATTAAATTTACTTTCAAACCATAAATATTATTAATTATATAAAAAAAAATATCATTAACTAATTAAACATCCTTACCTTAAATATTGTATCCTTAATTAAATGATTCAATTTCGGTGATGTGATTGAGGGAGAAGTGTATATTTTATTTTTTTATTAGAGAGATGTGATGGAATAAAGTGTGGTGATATAAATTAAATATAATTAATTATTTTCTAATTTAGAAATATTGAGGGTGTTTGTGACATACCAAAAAGAAAATGTTGCACGGTGGTTGGGACGGAGGGAGTAATAAATTAGCTAGTGTGATATATTTTGTGAACAATAAATATTAAATATATTTATAAAAATAATAATAATAACAAGCCCATCTTTTAGAAATTTCAAATGGGCCAACAAGTACTATTGCTAGATAGTTTAATTAGGCAACAAAAATAGTATTTATTGTGGATTAATTATCTTTTTGTCTCTTTTTTTCATTTAATTATTATAATTTTTGATTAAAATATTTTATTTTATATCATAATATATAACATCAAAATATGTATATTTTTAAATTCCAAAATTTATTTATTTTTTTTTAAAAAAAAAGTGTAAAGAAAATGCACCCACAATTATTAGATAATTTATATGATATTTTGTGAGAAAAAAAAAAATTTCTTTAGAAATTGTGTCAAATGAATAATATTAATTTTAAATTGAAATGATAAAAAATAAACCGTAGATGACTATATAAAAATTTCAAAATTATATGATTTTGATATTAATTATATATGAGTTTTAATGCAAGATAATATAATAAAATTAGTAGTATTTGTTATAAATAAATATTGAACGGGAGTAATTTATAATAATATACTTTATATTAATCTTAATACTTATATTTACTGTATAAAAAGATTACAATATTTTATATCTATATTTTTATCAAAATAAATTATTTATTCATTCTTAAATAAATGGATCCAATGAAGGCCCAGAAGCTTCACATAGAAGTTGGGGTTGGGCCCATTATGAATAAATAAATTATTTATTCATTCATATTAACAAAACATTATATACACCACCCTCAATTTATTTGCTAGTTTTTATTCAAAAAAAAAAAAAAATGTAACAAAAAAAAAATAACAAACAAATTTGGATGGAGATAAGTTCTATTTTTTATTTATTATTTTTATTAACAATAAAAATGTTATTGGTGCCAAAATATTTTTATGGATAAACTGTTTTTTAGTCCGTAACTGGACTCCCTTATCATTTTAGTCTCGTAAGTGGAGCATATCGCAAACTAGTTCCATAAGTGAAAAAATTTTCGTTGTTTTAGTCCTCCGGCGCCGGAGATGC